CAAGGAGAAGGACCTACCAGATGGGCTGAGGAGGCAGAAGTGGAACAGGAAGGTAGGACTCTGGTGACTGTAGACATACAGGGAAGAGATATTTAACAACAAATGTGATAGGCTCCAAGATTTTCGTTTGTATAAATGAGCATATGGTCACAATTTAGAGGTAAACCTACCATCAGTTTTTGCTAACTCACTATTTACTAGTCAAGTCTTTGCCTTCTCTTTATTAAGTGAATGTTACCATCACGGATATATTTGAATATTCACTAAGTACATTAGAAATTCAGACCATTCTTCAGATTTCCAGTGAGTTTCATATTTGTCCTGTACTGGGGAATCAGAGGCCTGGAGCAGAAAAGGAGTGGAGTCAACATTAGACTACCTGGGACTTGTTCTGTTCCCTGATGCATCTTTATCTATAGTAATAAAGGCACAATAAGTGCTTGATGAAGGGATGAGTGAGTGTGAGAGTGAATGCTCCTGTACTGCTGTGGGAAGTTTGCTCCAATTGTGTTTGTGAGAACAACAGACTTCTCCTCTAACTCCAACCCAGTGAGGGTGCTACCTATTACTTACACACACACATACTCATACAACTTCATCCTTTCCTCATTCTTTAGGGTACCATTGATGCAGTTATCTCAGCCCCATCCTTATTGTGATGCTGGCAAAAATCCAATTTTTCCTTCTGTCTGATTCCACCTTCATTTCCCCGGAGGTCCCCTCTATAGAGCACCCCTCCATAGACTTCCTACAAAGGACTTTAGTCCCATATTCTTTTTCCTGGGAAACACGGCCTATGACAACATGCTGATTATTTTTAAAATTCTTACTTCACCACAGCTTGAATTATGTCAAATATGTTCTAGATTTTCTTCCTTAAACCTAGGTTAACTTTATGTTACCATATTAAGACCAGTGGGGTGTAATGTAGGAATTGAATCCTGCTATTAAGACTTGGTATGATTATTTGGACAGTTAAACACTAAGGTCTAAATTCCACACAACTTTTTATAACCCATAGAAGCAGCTTATCCCCCTCACCCACACTCTCCTGATGATTCAGCTTTTTCCTTGTTAACCCACAATAACAAGGACCTATGGTTTCAGAATGAAAAGAAAAATGTGACCTATCTTATAAATGATTTGAATAAGGGTAAATTTGTTTCAAATGCTCAGGGATATCATTTTGTGATTCACTTGTTTCTTTGTTTCTAGAGGATCTTTTCTCCAAAGGTTCAAAACTCAAATGATGTTGTTTAACTTCCCCCTTTTTCTATTCTCCAGGTCTCTCCATGTTAAAGGTTCTGCAATTAGGAGCCATGGGTCAGATTCATGCCACTTCCTGTTTTATTTTTCTTTGCTTAGAAAACAAGATATTTTTAGAAAGGTGAAATAAATAGTGCTGGTTCTAAGTTCAATTGTGAAACAAAGTTTGTCCATGATGAGCCTCTTCTTTTTGCGGTGGACTTTCCATGTGGCTTCTCCTCCCCCAGCTCTGGGGACCTCCTCAGTCCATTGCCAGTGTCTTGCATACTCCTCTCCACAGGAAACTCTTCTCCTTTATCCAGATTTCTCTGTTCTGCTGCTCCCTGACCATGGCCCAGTCTAGGGGCTTCTATGTTTCCATGTGATAGAAAGTTCTCTGTTCTACAGCTCATCACCCAAGGCCAAGTTTACTCTGCCCCTAGGAGGCACCATTGCCTGGCACATCCCTAATTGGTTAATAAATGTTTAAATGGATGGATGAGAATATGAATCAGTGAATGCTTTCTCATAACACACCACTCAACACCCAGTCCTACCTACTATCCACCCAAGGGCATGTGTATTAACTAAGGTCTGATGAAGACAGCCTTCTTTTGTAGCATGACCCAACTAGGCACATTGGGAGAGGAACCTTCTGACAAATGGGTGTTAATTATATTAACCATGTGTTTCTTGATGCTTTCACATTTGGGGCCTTGCTGACCCTGGAGAGACGGTCCCTTCTTAGATTTAACAACTTATTTGTTAGCACATCTTTTATATACAAACCAACCGATCTAGAGTCCTTACCTTGACCACCTCCTTAAAGGACTCTCAGGGCTTTCACACTAGGCACCACTCACTATCTACCTGCCCTAATCACCCATGAATCTGTTCCAGGCAACCAAGGACAGCTCCTGTGTCTGAGAGCTTGGGGAAGCTATTCAAACCTGCCAGTCCTCAGCCCACTGCTTTCCCTGGAAACCACAAGGAGCTTTTGCCTGTGTTTCCCCCTTGCACCTTCTACCTCCTGACCCACCCTGGTGCTTCTCAAGCCCATTATATAACATGCTCCTTCCTTGGGAACTGTGGATAACAAGTGATCTTTTCAGTGGTAATTGTTTCCTGATCCGTAGGCCTCATTATACCTGAGTAAAAGCTACATTTTTAAACAGTTATTTCGAATATTTTTCCAGTCCAGCTGTGTTCCCCAATACTTTTTATAAAGTCTCCACTGTAACTGAATGGAGATAATTCTCTACTACGTTATAAAGATTTCTACTTTGGGTAGAAGGTTTCACCTAACCATATATAGTAACCTTTCACCTAACCTTTTTCATAGTTTTACTTTCTGCAGTTTTAGATTGACATTGGTCAATCATGGTCAGAAAATATTGATTGGGAATTTCCAGAAATAAGCAATAAGTTTGAAATAACTTGCACTATAGCATATTGTTAAGAGTTGTTCTATTTTATAATTAGCTATTATTATCATAAGTATATACATATAGGAAGAAATGTAGCATATTTAGATTTCAGTGCTATCCATGGTTTCAGGCATCCACTGAAAGTCATGGAATGCAAATTAGTGAACATTTATTAGGCACTTACTGTCTGCCAAGTGCTATACTAAAAATATTAAATGCATCACCTTATTTACTCTCCATCTCTGCCCCCCACAACAAAAAGCCATTCTGCCAACAAGAAGACTTGAGTCTCAGAGAGGCTGTGTAATAAGCCAAAAGCCACACAGCTAAAAATACCACAGGTAAAATTTAAAACTTGTTCTCTCCTTTTAAACACCCTGCCCATGAGCGAATCCATTTAAGAAAAATCCAGAAGGAGGCCTCTCCTTTTCCATAAGGTCTGACAATTGGAGAAATGACAAACAGGAGAGGCAATAAAGTTTAATTTTTTAATTAATTCAGTTATTAAAAGATTAATAACCAAACTTTATATGTGTCATCACCTTGAGCTCTCATAAAATCTGATGAATTATTGTATTATATTTGAACTGAAGTTCCCAAAGTCACAGAAGATGTGAAATTCAAACACAAACTTTCCTGTCATTGCTCTGAGACCTGCCCCACTTGCATGCCTTCCTTCTATCATAGTCTTCCAAATCTTTTAAAGTCTTCTTGCAAGTTTTATTGCATAACATCACTGCTTCCTTCATACTTTAAAGCAAAGGTGCAGCAGCTTGACAGTGAAAGTGATTCCATGATAAAAAGTAGCTGAGATGTGTCCAGATTTTCCAAGAACAATATACCCTGGGGTGAATTAATATAGTCTCTGGAAGAAGTTGCCCAGAGACAGGGCTAGAAATTGTAGAAGTTTATAACACTATGTCAGATCCTTAGTGAATGGAGGAGAACCTATAGAAATCCCTTATATTTAAAGAAGTTCCATTCACTGGGCACAAGTCCCCAGTTCTTCTCCAAACAACTGTACTGGTAATGGAGATAGGAGAAAATAACTGGCAGTTTTGGACAACTACAAGCTGAGAAGGAATAAGTCAATTAAATACTTTAAACATGCAAATACACATATGTAATAAAATAATATATAATAAAATTGCTGTTGAATGCCATCAAGTAGCAAAATATACTGTAGAGATGTTAAAAATCTATATGGCCAGGGTTGACCATAGGCATGGGGGCCTTTCTAGCAAAATAATTGAAAACGTAACTGACTATCAAGCAAAATATAATTCATGGGTCCTACTGAAGTTTGGGGTCTGAGAAATTTAAGCAAGAAAGAGGAAAAGTTGGAAAGAAAGAGAGAGAAAAACAATTTATTGAATCAAATAACTTGGAAATGTTAAAAAAATGATAAAACAATTGGCTTATGAGTACCAGACAAAAGGAGGCTGGATTAGAGGGCTTAGGAGCAAGCAGCAAGTCATTGAAAGTGTCTTTTGGGGATAGGACTGGGCAGCCATTAGGAATTTCCATGGAGATGGTAAGAAGAAACAGCTTGCCTGGCGGAGGACCTCGGCTGGGCTATCAGGAAGAATTTCTGACTGTATATGTCAAGACTCTGGCTCACAGGATGAAGGCAACCTTCTGGGATTCGCCTATCCTAGGACTGTTTTTCAGCTTCCAGCAAGAGGCTGTTGGGGCGATTTCATGCAGCCCTGGGATGGACAGATGACCCCTCAGAGCCCTTGGCTCTCATGTTGCTGAGGCATGCCATCCTCGGCTGCACTCACAGGCCACGGCCAGCTGCTGACTCCCCACCCAGGGGCTTCGGAGTTTTCCCCACAGAAAGGAACAACCAAGCCTTTCACTCCTGGGTTCCTCACTTGGACGGGGCTGTAGGTGTACATATGTGGTTTTTCAGTTCTTCAGCACTTAGGCACTTTTCTGCAGAGCCAAGGGCCTTCTGGGAACAGTGGAGCATCTGTGTGTTGACAGTAATGACCTGTGGGCCAGAGACACTCAGCCAAACTCTCCCTCTGCTCCAGGAGCTGGACTGTACCCCTCACCTGCAGTGAGCCCCAGCCTGCCCAGCGCCAAGTGCCCCCCTTCTCTCCCTAATTGACTTCCTAGCTCCTCTGCCACATTTGTACCAGTTCTTACCAGGATGGTCTCTACCCACCACCCATCCCACACACAGAGTGAACAGTAACACGCATCTGGCTTATGGCCTGCTGCTAAACTGTGAGCACTGAAGGGTGAGGGACACACGGCTCAGCTGGGCAGCTGGGTGTTTACAAGAGGTTCGGCCTGCAAAGAGATGCCAGTCTTCTCCTATAACATCATTGCCTTTATTTATTATATGGATTGTTGATTTACATGGGGAATTGGGGATGCTAAACAAGCATAGAGTTTTCACATGGTCTGTTTATGCTAAATTCAGAAACTTGGGGACATCATTTAACATCTGACAAAAACACAGAAGAGTGCTTAAAAACCATCCTTTTGTTCTTGGCCCTGAGTCAGAGAGAGACGGGCGCTTATGAAGGAAGGTCGAGTTTCAATCCTTAGACAACCTCTAAACAGCAGGAACTTTGTTGTGTGGATCATGTGAAGTAGGCAAGCTCAGTACTAATGATACATTGGAACAATTTCTCTCTAGGAATGGCTCTCCTTCATACAAGTGTCATAGGATTTCTAAAGCTGTCCACCATAGGTGGGCCTACACAGTATGAATGTTCAATAGCAAATTAGATAGGGAGCCAAAGAGTACAGGGAATTTAAAAGAAAGAAGAAAAGTCAATGAGATTTTTAAGGAACAAAATGGAATAAATCCTCTCTCTCTCTCTCTCTCTGTACATGTGTGGTTGAAAGTCCTGGTGAATGTGTTGTTTGGTATCTCTCATGTGTTGTTTTTGTTCAGCATAATGTAAGTATGTGGTAATAAGTGGAAATACCAAGGAGAAGTCAGAGTTCCACTTTTGGAGTCTTTTCTTCTGATGTACGATTTTCTCTCTGTAAAACATCATAACACTGAAATTTAGATTTGGAGTTAATTCTTGCTTTAGGCTTAGAAAACTAGGCCATTTTGATTACTTTAGGAAGTGCTAAATCATTTTCAATTTTTATCTTATGAGCTCTTTTATATGGATTTTGATTCATTTCCCATTGATACCTTAAGCAAAATGGCAAAATTCCAAATTCAGCTCCTTTGAATATGCAATACTTTTCCAAAAATACTTTGTTAGTTCTATTCCCATAACTAGTTCTATTCCCATAACTATTCCCATGAGCATCCTGATTCTGACCAGCACACACCCTCAAATTCATTCGCTGTTGATCAGATCCAGTAGAGCCCAGAAATCTTATTCAACAAGCAATAAAAGGGACAGAAGGAGAAAATGAAAATTGCTTTACCTGTACCCTCACACTTACCAACAGTTTCCCTTCTAGAAATCCATCACAAAAACTTTTCACATGCTCTACTGTAACTTCAGTTATAGGCAGTGTATCCCACTGATCGTCAAGCGTTCGGTAAATTGCCAAAGCTGGCAGCTGAGACTTCTTTAGTTTGAAAAATGATATCACCTTTTCATTTTCCTTCATACCACTGTCCACCAGGACAAAGAGAATCTGCAGTTGAAGAAGTTTGAAAGAAAAAGCTCTATCAGAGGTCCTGGGGATAAACAGATTCTTTGTAATTGTTGTCGTTTACACTGATTAAACTTATGGTGTCACGTAAGTTAAATCTCAATTGAGTTAAAATAAATCGTTCATTATTTTGTATTGCTTTAGTATTTTATTCCTTTGGTCAGATTTATTTAATTTTGAGCACATAAAATTGGAAGAGATTTTATTGATTTTATAAGGGAGGAAGTGTAGCCTGCAGGTTAAGAGCAAAGAACAAATTTTAAATTTTACCTCTGGTATATTTAGTTGTGTGGCTTTTGGCTTATGACACAGCCTCTCTGGGACTCAGTTTTTTTTGTTGGCAGAATAGCTTTTGTTGGGGGCAGTGTGGAGAGTAAATGAGGTGATGCATTTAATATTTTTAGTATAGCATTTGACAGATAGTAAGTGCTTAATAAATATTAACTATTTTGCAATCACATTCCAAAATCCCTTGTGGATGCCTGAAACCTCGGATAGTACTGAAATTTAGATACTATATTTCTTTCTATACATATATACTTATGATATAATAGCTAATTATAAGCAATGTAATAGCTAATTAGAACAATTCTAACAATATGTTATAGTGAAAGTTATTTCAAACTTATTGTTTATTTCTGGAAATGTCCATTCAATATTTTCCGATCATGATTGACTGTAGTGAAACTATGGAAAAGGGGGCTACTGTATATTGTTTGGTCAAACCTTGTATCCAAAGTAGAAATCTTTATAATGCAGTTGAAGATCATCTCCATTCAGTTGCACTGAATGCTTCCAGTCTTCAGCTTTTATTCTTAAAATAACTAATTTATTACTTTATTATCGGCTGGTTGTCATGATTAGAAAGGTCTCTAGCTGAACAGCCTTGAAGTAGTTAAGTTTTATTGTTTGGGCGATATCAAGCAGAACCTCATGAAGGAGGAAAGGGGAAGATAAAATACTTCTTGGCTATCTAATTGGTACCAGGGCTTGACGGGTGTATATGCGGGGTAAACTCTAAGGTCTGTCCCAAACTCGACGAGAGTATGGTGGGGGGGTTAACAAATGGTGACTAGTAGGTGATTTTATTTTCTGTATCTTTATGTCTCTATTTTATCTCCACCTATCAATGCAGAAAACTATCCTTAACCACTGTGGGAAAACATGATTATATAAGCCTTTAATGTTACCAAACATAACATGTTTGATTTCAAATGATGCTATTTTTTATGTCCCACTCTTTCTTGATTTCTGAAACATACTGGCTTTCCTTACTTATCTCTCCTTCCTAGCCCCATCTTTCTTCTGGTGCTATTTATTCAAATGTCATGTCCCATTCCCAACTTACCTTTCCCTGGAAGAGCGTAGCTGCCTTCCGGTATCTGTTCATATTCTCGGCATACTCTGGAGATGCTTTGCTTATCACCAGGAGAAGATGAATCTCAATCATGGTGTTAAATAGGCCAAACCCAGTCTGGCAAGTATATTATAGTAGAAAGAGAGAAAGGGGGGAGACATTAGTGTCAATCCAGTGAATGGTAACGCAAATGCAATTGGCCTCCAAGAGAGTTCTCAAAATCTCCCTATCTGTTGTTTTTTTTTTCCATGCATCAGTGTAGATCCCTCTTTCCCACACTGCATAGGTTGGATGGAGAAACCAAGAGGATATTGTAGAAATGATGGAGTGTGACTTTGAGGTCATAAAAGTCATCATGAATTCTGCCGTGTTCTTCCCAATATCCCTCACTCTGAAGCAGCCCTATGGACAGATTCACATGGCAACAGTGGGGACCAACTTGCCAGCCACATGAGTGAGCCCTCTTGAAAGAAATTCTTCCAGCTCTACTCAAGCCTTCCAATGACTGCAGACCTGGTCATTGGCTGCAAACTCACCAGAGATGCTAGAGCAGAAGCACCTAGCCAAGACACTCCCAGATGGTTGACCTACAGAATTAGCATGAGATAATCAACATTCACTGTCTCAAGCTAAAATTTTAGGGTAACCTGTTACATGAACTAGACAACAAATATGCCATGAAACATATCAGTCGCTTTTTTTCAACTCCTTTTCATGTTGCAAAAGGAACACTTAAAATATGATTCTTGACTACAAATTATTTGAGCATACTTATTGAATATTTATTATGTGCAAGGAACTGTCTTCAGCTTTTATTCTTATAATAACTAATTGAATCCCTAAGATCCTGGTTTTTCAAGTGAGAAGACTGAGGCAGAGATAGATTAAATAGTTGTAAAATTTACATAAATGATGGCTTGGGATTCACATTAGGCAGTCTGGTGCTAGAGTCCAAACTGGCTGGATCAGGATCACCTGGAAAAACCCCATGCAAATCAATTTAACCCCAAGTGTGGTGGATCCAGTCCACCTCAGGTCAACATGAAGGTGAGCTCTGCAGGAAACGGGAAGCATTGACCTTATTTGCTGATCGGCCATTCGGCATGAAGTTGTCAATGACATTGGGGACTGGGATAGCCACTAGCTGGATAAGAAGGGGAGAGGAAGGGTGAAACTGTGCTATTGACACCATTCATTTCACTTTCCCAAACCTGTGTTGCAGATCTATTTTAAACAAACCCCATTGCTTTCTACCTCTCCTAAATACAGAAATCACTGCTATAAAAATCAACATGTGCATGATAAGAGATTGGCCTCAGGGGGCCAATAGGTGGACAAGGAAGGCCTATGGAGTTTTTATCCTAAATACTTCTCCTTGGCATTTTAGAAAGAAAATGTGTTCTTCATTATTGCTGCTGACACAAGATTTTACATTTGGGAGAACGGATGATCAATAATTGACTCTTGTTTTAAATGCATGTGTATCCAACTTCCTAAAGCAGAGATGGAGGATAATTTTTGGAAAGAGTCAAGAAAAAAAGTGGAGTCAATCCTGTCTTAGCAGAAGGGATTGGACAACAGAAGTGATTAGTGGAATCTGTGATTAGTGGCACAGCCTGGTTTTTCACCTTGAAGCCATCCACATGTTATTAAAAGTGCATGGCAGGCCAAAGGCATGGCTGTGATTTTCTGCCCTTGGTTACTGGTGCAAACTTCTGCATTATCAGTAGAAGAGAAATAGCTGTAGAAGAATGGGTAGCTTTCCAAATGAGAAAAAGATTTTTTTTTTTGAGAAAAAAGTCACAATAAAAATTGAACTTGTTTCTGTAAAGAAATTCTTTCCTGATTTCTTCTTGAGATGATTAGCCTCCAGTAATAGGGAACTTTAAAAAGATACATTATTACTATGCAAGGTGAGAGCTGGACCAGGCTGAGAGCTCAGGCAGGCCAATCCTTGCCCTGCCCTGGCTGGGCAGGATTCCAGTAGGCTGGAGCCATTTACCTTGGAAGTGAAAGATCACTTTTCTGGGCCTCTGTGCACCCCTTTTAGCTGAATAGACACACAATCAGAATGACCCAGGCTAAGAATGTGTTCTTCATTATTGCTGCTGACACTGTGGTGTGTGTGTGTGTGTGTGTGTGTGTGTGTGTGTGTGTGTGTGTTTGGAATCTTGGCCAAAGTGGAAATGGAGTCAACACTCTCTAAAGATGGTGTGAGAAGTGGATGTGATTTTAGTCAACAGGAAAAGGGGTGTTTCCTCCTGTGTGGAGCAGTAGAAAAACCACAGAATGCACTCAAACAGACCCAGCACGAAAAACAGGGTAAGTGCAGAGGCTGTCTCTGAAGTTCAAGTTACTAAGCTAATGGCTCTAGGAGGTTACTTAGCTTCTCTGAACTCCCACTTCCTGTATTATAAAATGGAAATAGACAAGATGAGCTAATGTTCTGCCTTAAATTATGTCTTTTTAATTTACTCATTGTGTGACATTTGGTAATGTCACTTGGGTCTTGAATGTTCTCCTATACAAAATGAGCGTAATAATTTCCTCCCTTTCACCTTAAACAATCAATTAAATGATTAAATAAGAATTAAGGGAGGATTAAATGAGAAAATGAGTATGAAAGGGCTTTATAAGTTCTGAAAAAACATAACTTGTGCATTAGGTGTTGTTTCTAGAGTACACCTAGCACTTCTAAGTTGATGTAGGTCACTAGAAAATGAAAGGCAGGACATGTAAGATAATTGGATAAGCTGTAGAGTGTGAGAAGGCCAGAGGATGATCTGGAGGGTCGGTTGACACTTTTCCTCATATTGCTTGCAGCATGTGACATCAGAGGAGAACAAACCTGGATGATGAGGCCCCTGAAGATTTAGACAATGCTAGTCAAAATGCAGTTAGCATGTGGTGCCAGACCAGGAAATGTTAGTGTCCATAAAGAGGTACCCACAGAAAATAGGAATAGATGTTTGAAAATTTTATGTTGTTCTGGCATGCGAATATGTGATCAGTGGGTTTATTTATTTTTCTTTTTTGAGACTTGGTTTGGCCAACCTACCTGGGCTAGCCTCAAACTTGAGATCCTCCCTGCCTCAGCCTACTGAGCAGGTGGGATTACAAGTGTGCAACACCATGCCCAACTAATCGGCCTTATTTTTTAAAGTGCATTTGTCTACTAACTTACTTTTATTTTATTTTATAAAAATATGGGTCACCAGTGCTTTAGGGGGAAAAAAAATCGACTTTCTGTATGAATTGGAATCTAACTCAAGAAATGTGATCTACAGCGTTGATCGGGGTATGGTGGCAGCAAAACTCAGAAGGTTTTTGAATCAGTCACCTTAACTTTGCATTTTGGCTCTCTTTCTTATTAGTTGTGTGATAAAACATTCGACTTTTCTGTCTCTGTTTCTCTTTGTTAAATAGATAAAAGTCCATCAGTCCTGCGAGGTCACAGTATGAATGTTAATATAAACAACATACTAGGCTTTCAATTAAGGATGGTTACTTCACATTCCTGGTTAAAAAAGCAGAGCTCTGGGAGGAAAGGGTCTCTGCAATGAAGACAAGTGCCCTCCCTGACACGAGAGTTTAGGGGGCTGGCCCCAGGGACGTCGTTTACCATAGGGTTGTATTCTGTCACCAAGCGCAGGCTGTTGGTCTCAATGAAAAGGCTTAATTTGGCAGCTTCCATGTTTTCAACCTCTTCACCCTCTAACTTCAACTGTTCATTATCCACCTGGGAAGCACAAAGAAGGATCCGGTTGTCACCATTATATCTTTTTTTCCCCAATAATTGCTAAATACTCTTAGACCACTATGAAACAAGCCTCCAGTAAAGCTTCAAAGACAGACAGAAAAGTGAGTCAGGAGGGTTTTCTGCCCTTGAGCGACATGTTTGTTTTTTAAAGATTATTTTTTTGTAATGCAATTACTGATATATTTAATTATGAATTTTCCATTGGTTCTGCCTGTTCCAAATTCTACTTTTCTTCATTTCTGGCTCAGTTTTGAATTGACTGAATTTATATTATCCCCCCACATTTTTTTTTTTTTTTTTGGTTTAGAAGCCACACAAGTTTTAATTATTCCTTTAGGGATTACTGGCATGCATTATACAACATGAATTTTTACATATTAGAATCTAATATTAATTGGCTATTCCATCCTTATCTTGACTTTAGAACATTCTCATAATATGGTTTATCTTCTGACTTCCTTTCCTGACCCCACGGTTGGACTTAGAGATGCTTGTTTTGTGTTTGAATTATAAATCTCACAAGACATCATCATTATTATTATGTAGTTTACACTTAAATTTATGCACATATTTACATTTTAGTGTTTCATCATTCATTCTTGCGTTTTTGAGCTTCTACATGGAATGTTTCCACCCCTCTGCCTAGAGAAAAACCTTTTAGTATTTTCTTTAGTATCAATTAACTCTTGGGGGACAAATTCTCTCAGTTTGGTTGTTTAACATATGATTTATTTCAAGTTTGTTTTTGAAGTCTTTTTTTGCTGGTGGTAGAATTCCAAGTTGACAGTTATTTCTCTTTGTGTTTGAAACAATGTAATGCTCAGTATTTTGTGTTATATTATTTCTAGTGAAAAATCAGCTGTGACCTATTTCTGTCCTGTCGAGATTACTTTGAGGGTAGTCTTTTTTCTCTAGTTTAAGATTTTCTTTTCTTTTGAGATTTGAATATTATACTAGGGCATGGCTAAGGGTGGATCATACACATTTCATGTGTATACAGTTGTATGTGTATAAGTGTTTGTGTGCATTTTTCATGATCACCATAGTCCAGTTTCAAGGATAGGGATGATTTGTGTCGGTACTCTACTGAAGTCCATGTGAGGGCTGATGTGCTTATGATTTATCCTGAAATTAGGTACAGTTTTGGGGATCCAAAGGAGATACTAAGGATGTTTTACTAGATTTACTTCCAATTTCCCCTGTGGGGCTTCCACACCAACATTTATTCTGTTGTCCCTTTGAGAATCTCTCAAAAATGTTGATAAATGTCTCATCCTTTAGACTGTTTTTTTTCCCCTAGAACTATAAAAAGCCCCCAAGATGAAAAGCTGTACCCAATGTTCTTAGTTTCCATCTTCTAGACCTTGGTCTAGACATTTTCCCTTCTTTTATGATAACCTAGTTGTAAAAAATTATCTAGCTACCTGGTCCATTTTCTCAGCTTTGTATTTTAGTGTTCGTCTATCCTCAGTGCCATAGTTTGGATTTGGAATGTCCCCGAAGGTCCCTATATCGAGAGCTTGATTGTCAGCCTGTGGTGCTATCGGGAGGTGGTTGAACCTTTAGAAGTTGAGGCCTAGTATAAGAAAGCTAGGTCACTGGGGGCATGGCCTTGAATAGAATATTTTCCCCTGGCCCCTTTCTGCTTCTCTCTGCTTGCAGCCACCGTCTCTGCTACATCACATGCTCCCTGCTATGATGTGCTGCCTTGCCACAGGCCCCAAAACAGCAGGTTAATTGATCATGAACTGAAACATCTGCAATCATAAACCTTTACCCTTATTAAGTTGACTATCTTAGGCATTTTGTTGCAGTGACAGAAAGCTGACCAACACAGGTACATTAAAAGATAGAACTTCATAATTCTAGTTCTTGTTTCCAGAATTTTCATTATCTTCCCTCAGTCTACTTCTGCCCATAACAACATAAGATAATGCTTCCATTGCCCATAGCAACTATACCTATAGATAAAATCACCAGTGTCAGCCCCTGAACAATTTTGTGCCTCTCCTAAAATAGCTTGGGTTGCTTTGGAGATCCCTGGGCACCTCTTTACCCCTTTCCCCTTCATCTGTTATTTTATATGATCTCTACCCAATCCGATCTTGCCTTAGTTGAAAATCACCCTTTTATCCCTATGATACTTTTTCTCAGTCTACCCAACAAAATCAGAGACAAATCTCACTTTAGTTTATGTAGGAGAGAATTCAGGGAAAGGGAAATTTAAGTCCCTACATAGTAAGAATCCAAGATTGATCCTTATTGTCATACTGGTGATGACCCTTATTTTCTATTTTTCATTTCTTTTATTTAAGATGATTCTCTATTGGGCTAATTAAAGGCAATATAAACTTCTGAGAAGCTCAATGCTCAGGTTAAAATTACCTATAGGGCTAATTTTATTAGTCCTGGATATAATGTAGTCATTCTCTTATAACCCATTTGTTCTAGAATTATTCATTGAGCACCTGCTATACGTTTGGCATGCAGGCTCAGATTGCTGCCATTCACTTAGAACACCAATTAAGTGCTCTTTATTTTAAGACCTTTGTGCAATTTAAGTTTATGAAATAAATACTACAGAAAATGTTCTTATTTCTGAAAAAGATTTTGAAAAAAGTCACCCAAACCACAGAATATTTTAAAATGTGAAGTCTCTGTATACATAACTGTTTTAAAATTCACAAAGTTCTAAGTAGATTACTTGGGAAAGAAAGAAAAAAGCAAGAGAAAAAGTCTGAGGTGGAGACCTTACCCAAATTTCTACCCCCATCCCTACCCTGAATTATTAAGAATGAGTGAAGAAATAAAATGAACATGCAGAAAACACAGGACAATTGAGGCTCTTCTGGATCTTTAAGCTGCTGAAGCCGGGTTGCCAGCTGGCCTGTCTCCTTCATACTTAAGACTTTGCTATTGCAACCACCAAAATCATCATTATTACAAAAACAATCAGGGCCCTTTTAATATCAAATATGTCTAAATGCTTCCTGATTATTTTTCTAGGAAATCTTAGGCCTGGCGCCTGAGCCCCAGCTGACCTAGCTGTGGGGTGGGCCAGGAGTCTCCTCCCACTCCCTTTTCCAGGCAGTACTTCTCATTTCCCAGAACAGGGAGAACAGGAAGCCCTGGTTACTCCAGGTGTTTCTGGACCTAAGGAATGCAGTACTGGGAAGCAGAGGAGGTGAACTGATGATAACATTCCCTAAGAAGAGAAGGAGGTTTAATAAAAGCCACCCTCCCGCAGTCTCTTGGGTTTGTTGTACCTCTTTTAACAAATCGTGTCCAATTACTGCATTGTTTTTTAAACTAATAAACTCTGGAACATTTATGTGTAGGGTTACTGGAAACAACATTTGAGCAGAAAATCTGCCTTCTGTGAAGATAATAATTTGCATAATGCACTGGAAAGAAAATCTGACCCTGGAACCAAGAACATTTTAAAAAAATATACTTCTCCAGTGTTTGGAAAGAATTTTACTTAAGATATCCTATTATTTTTTTCTTCACAAGAAAAGGGATACAAAATAAAAGCAGAGCAGTAAAATGGGACGGTTTCTACCTAAGCATCCCCCTGGATTATCTGAAGGAGATGTTTTTGTTTTGTTTTACATATTATATCATCAATTGTTCCTTTCCTGTTTTTTACTGTTTCAGTAACATTTGTTTGAATTCCTTTGGATTTCTCTGACAACACAGCTTTTCAGAAAATGTATTAAAAATCATCTTAGTTTACACTCAGTTAAATACCAAGGTATTAAATACCTTGGGTGGCAGTGAAAAAATCATTTGTTAAACAGTTGCCCTCATGCCCTGGGTTTGTTTCCCTAAGCTGCTCATCTTACTGCTAGTGCATATTTTAGAAAAAAATGTTTTAATAACTTGACATATATTGCTTCATGCATTTCTTATCAGTTTATTTTTATGCACTGGTTCCTTCTGATTCTCTTTGCCTGGTAAGTTACATTTCTTATAATAGGCACCCAATAAATAACTGCAAAAGGAATAGAGAATGACTTACTGTGCTTCTTTTACTATCCTAATGGGTCAAAGTTAGGCTAATTATATTTTTAAAAATAGAAGTGACTGAGAAGACCCAAAGCAGGGGAAGCATTCAAATAATATCCAAAGTTCCATTTTAGGACAGATTCATTCACCCCAGGGATTTCATCTGTGTTCAGGAAACAGAATCCTTTGGGAGAATGTAGAGGTCTCTCTGTTGTCACACAAAAGGCAGACTGTGGCCCCCAACAGCCCTGTCATATATATGGCTCAATATTGTTCCCTGAATTTTACTGAAACTAAAACATTCATCTAAGTCAGCCCTTTTTGGAGAATGATATGTTCCATAAATACAGCTTATTCTGGCCTTTTATTTCTCCTATATCTTAATCATCCATAATATCATTAGTTTTTCACTTAATCATGATTTCAGCTTATCTTTAAATATGTTCTTCTAATCGTAAATGCTTTAAGTCTAAATTTTGAAATTTATTTACCAAAATATATAAAACCTAGATTAAATCTTGAGATATAATCCTGGCTTTTGATTGATTAGTGACACAGGAATAGGAGAATGGTTTAGGAGAAAGTATTTAAAAAGAAAGGTATGTGTTATAGAACAAGGGACATTATAGTAGACAGAATCTAGTGTGAAAATGAGGGTTTTCTTTAGGGTTAAGTGCTTTTAGAAAGCCTTGATAGCATAATAGAAATGGTATGATTTGAGATCAACAGTGCTGGGTTTGGAATCAGACATCTGTTACTTTCTAGTTTTGAAACTTCAGATAATTGAATTGATTTCAGAGCTCTATTTTTCTTACTGTAAATGTAGGGATAACAATCTTCCTCAAATGCTTGTGAGAATTGTAACAGAACCAATCATAGATTAGATACACACACACACACACACACAAAACTAGCAAACAACTAAAACATAACAAACTGTGGATCTAAGATGAATAAAAGTACCAGAAAATTTGTGATAGGTTTATATTTCCCAAATCCTAAAATTTTAAGGGGTGGTGCCATCACCACCCCTTTAAAAAAAGTTATTCTAAATTCCTGAACAATAATCCTTTTAAAATGTGTACTAAACTTTTGAAAGAATAAACTGAGAAAGAAGTGTTTATCTAAAAGCTGGCACCACATAAGTCAAGCCTCTCCCAGCCTGGCCAGTGAAGTGCGCAGGAACCACTGTGTTGGTTTTTGGTATGGCACATAAATAATTGGGTCCACAGAGGTCTCAGGAGTTCATTTAGAGTAGGTCCATCACTAGTGGTAAACAAAAAACAGATGCTAGGGAGGAGTGAAAACCTCTGAGAGAAGTCATCAAGGGGTTTTACAAAGACTAAGCTGTAAACAGAGCTCATGTCCCTGTTAAAGAGTGTGAAGCCTGGAGAGCAGTTGGAAGAAACACCTGTGTTTTTCTTCCCAGTGGGTGTATCTTATGAAGGCCCTTAATTCAGGCCTTCTTAAGATCTACAAACAAAAAACTGGGGAAGGTGAGCCTGTGGAACTGAAGCTGATGAGGACTTTTGCATTGAAGGATGACTCTCAATGGTTCGATGGCAATGGGAAAGACATCTGCCTCACCGTCCATGTCTGCCTTAACAACGCTTTTCACAAAAAGGCTGTGTTTCGTTCTGTTTCTCCATAGTGAAAATATAGACTATCAACTATCGTGCAAGTGGGAAAGGGTGGCTCAAAGGTGTTCTTGTAGCCTCAGACATACTTTGGGAGGTGAGTTTGGTTTCTCAAATGCTTCTTGGTACCTTTTAGGTGTTATGGACCTGTGGACGTGGAATACAAAGATGAGACATAGAGTGTAAATGGAAATAGAGATATGGGTATATAGAGGAATGCTTAGGCTGATTTGGGGATTCCAGAGAGGCTCTCTGAAGGACAAGATGCCTGAACTGATTAACCTGAAGTATGAGGAGGAGTCAGCGGGGTGAGGCCCTGGGAAAGGGAGTCCTTGAGCTAGAAACATTCTGGGCAGAGGGGACTGGATAATCATCATGTGTATAGTTGGGGACTGAGAAAATAAATGCCAGGGTGGAAAACTGCTAGAAAAGGGACTAGAAAAGCACAAGAGACCATAGGTAACATTGAATATCTTGCAAACAGTGGGAAATGTTGAAGAAGTTTTAAGAGAGGAATGCCTTGGTCAAATTTCCATCTTAAATATGCCATAGTGGTACCAGTCTTGAAAATGGATATGAAGCAGTAAAAGGTGATCAGTTAAGAAGCAATTACAATCACAATGAAAATGATGCTTGGAGCCTAAATGGGAACGAAGTAGGAAGAGTGGAGTAATATAGATTCAAGATAGGAGGTGCAATTGGCAAAAGAGAGAGAGTGAATGACATAATCATTCAATAAAATATTGTATTAGATGGGGGAAAATGATTTAGCAGGTGCAGACAATAAATTCAATTTTGAGCATGTCAAGAGTATAGTGCTTAGGATGGTATAAAATGGTTATCTCCAACGAGCATTTGAATCATGAGAGAAGTCCATGTCGTAGGTAAAATATCCCAAATCCTCCGCAAACACATCATGGTCAAATATGAATTAGTTTGCTTAAGGAGAACATAGACATTCATTAATTGATTCACTCATACGCTCATTCTCTACAAATATCTCACGAGCACCTGCTCCCAGTGCTGCCACATGGCAGACACTATTTTAGGCTCTGTGGATTCAGAAATGAACAGACCATCTCTTGCCTTCACTGAGCACAGATTCCATAACCTAGACTGAGAAGAGCATTGGGTCAAGAAGTAGTATAGGTAGAGGAAGAGAGGGCTCAGGAAAATTAAGAGAAATGGGCTCCTAGAAGTCAAGAAAGGAGAGAACACTGAAGACAATATCAACCAACACTATCTATGTGGCAGAAATGTTGAGCAAAATAAGACTGAAAAGGCATTTTTGCTTGGCCACACAGAGGCTGTGCTGACCTGGGTGAATATAGCTTTCATGGAGCCATGGGGCATATACTACATAACAGTGCCCAGCTGAAAGGAAGTCTGAGACACTGAGTATAATATACTCTTAAAGGAAGTTTGAATGAGAAGTGACCATGAGAAAGAAAAGATGGCAGCCACAGGGAGAGAAGGGCATTTGGTCCAGAAATCTTGAAAGCTCTATCCTGGGCTCTTGTTCTCATTTTCAGCACACTCTTGACATCTTTACTTTGACATTTCACCAGGTATTAAAAGTCAACAACCAACTAAAGCAGTAATAATCCCTATTTCTGCATATGCTCTCACTATTCCTGGAAACCCTGGCTTTAAACTTTACCCTCTTTCCATAATTTTGATGTCTTTTATTTGCTGATCATTTACTTAATCTAATTATCTAGTCATCAATCTGCTTTTCTTTAATTTTGACCTCTCTCCAGACCCTTAATACCTACCAAAATCTCTCTCTTTTTATGCCTACTAATTTACCCCACCCATCATTTCTATAACAATATTGCTAAAACACATTCCTATTCATGTTACTCCTATGATCTAAACGTTTTGGGGCTTTAAGGTGCCAACCAAATTTAGTATAACCAAATTAAATGGTGTTCTAATTTCTCCACAGTATGTGTTTAAACAGTCTTCTCTATTTTGTATTACTTTCTGCCTAACGTGTACCCTGGAATCCAGTCAAATTGGCCTGGTCATTGATTTATAATTGAATTCGATTATTTCCCCCTTGGCCATATGGGTTTTTAGCTCTCCTTGACATCCCAGTCCAGTGCTCTTCTTCATATGTTTTTTTCCCAGAATTCACAGTTTTTGTCCCTTGAAGCGTGTAACACTTTATAGTCACACTATTTACATTGGATACTTGATTATTGCTTATAATCTATACTTTCAGATCTATGAAAGCAAAGATCTTTCTCCTTTTAATTTATAGATGAAATGAATTGAAGCTAAAAAGTGCTAAGTGAGTTGCCCAGCATCTGGTGGCCGGTGAGCCACCAGGCAGCTCTTCAGCGTCCTGTTTCCCGATTCTCACATGAGTCTTCTTTCCACTTCATCACAGCACCTGTTTGGCAACTCTTGGTTGAGTCACCATCCTTGTCAACAATGTCCCTGAATTTGGCACCAGCATTAGTGTTAAAGACATAGAGTTCTTTCCAGTCCCACAAGTTTATGAGTCCACAACCTGAACAAAACTTGGGAGGAGTCTCAGGTTGTCCACGCAACTTACCAGACGAAAGAGGGAAATGGAGTTCCTGGTGATGTTGTAGTGCGCCAGGACCTCAGAGTTATTGCTGATTCCAAATGACACATCTTGGAATTTTTGCACCATGCTATAGAATACAGACACTACTGGTATTTCTAGATCCTAAAAACAAGAGGAAAAATAATGCATAGGGATTATTTTGGAAGGAGAGAGAAAAAGAATAGAGAAGTAATGTGCTCACTCAAACCAGAGTGAAAAAATTTAGTGTCTAGTGAAAAAAATTATCCTCTAGAACATAGGCTAAATTTTCAGTGGCATTTTGAGTTTTCCAGGATATGGCAATTAATAGGTTACTACTAAAACTGTGGCTAAGCCTGGGATTTTTGTCTGGCCTTATCATAGAGCTGAAGTTTATTAGTAATCAAGAGGCTTCAAAATTAGAGGCCTGTGGAATTGGGCTATACTGACATTGATTACTTGAGGGGACAAATGTTTTGGGGACTATTTGTGGAGGAAAGAGGAAATGCAAAAATAAGAAATAGGTGCTATCAAAGGGGCCAAAAAAGAATGAGTACAAAGAAAAAAAAAAAGAGAATGGAAAGTTAGAAATTTCATTAAGAATGGTTTGTGTAGGATATGGGACAATAGCTCCCTCTTTTCAAACCTCTTTCCTGAGCATGAAGCTGTGTGCTTTCCTGAGCTTTGTGCATGAAGATACTTTTCACATGTCCAGCTCTGCAACCCAGAGGTCAGGGAGCAGGGAGGTCACTTCTGAGTGTTGAAATGGGCATCATTTCCCTGCTGCCACACAATGTTTGCCCATAGCACCTCCAGGTGATGAACAGGTGTGTGTTCTACCCTGCATCTCCCTTGGCTGAAGGTGATATGCAAGGAGAAAGAGGATGGCTAACAGCATTTGGGTTCAAGTACAGGGAGTTGGTAGCTTGCTTTTCTGAAAGGCCAAGTACAGTTTGGTAGAGGCTTTGAACATTTGTTCACCCAGGCTTTTTCCTCTTTTGTGATCTGCTCTTTCAGATGGAATTGCTCAAGGATCCAATGATGGCCTCTGGTGGCTGTTTAAGTCATTGCATACTCTTCCAGTTCACGCTTGCCCTTTCCTATCTTTCTGAGGATGGCTGTTTTTGTCTATATCTCTCTCACTACTTGGAAACTGCTCCTTATCTTCCTTCCACAATGCATCTCCTCACAGCTGCTTCCGGCTGTGTACACCACTGACAGGGTAACCCTGAGTTGGGATCAACCAGTGGAAATAGGCAAGAAGGTCTGTAGTGAGGAGAGTAGGGGCGGGATCAGCTGTGGGAATTGCCAGATGCCACCACCAGAGATAAAGGAGAATGCTGGAAAGATGCCTTCTCATTTATGGCTGCTTTGGTTAGTCAAGCAGCCAATCTGGAAGATGGAGGTTAATACCTTCAATATATCAAAGTCATCATTTTTCAATATTTCAGAGAAGGCAGAGACAAGGAAGAATGAGGGTCTACCTAGGGAAAGATTTTAGACAGAGGTAGCTAACACTTTGGAGCTTTGGCACACATATATAAAGTCTTGTCTGTATTATAAAAAGTTTATGCTTGCTTCTGCCTGTTTATATGAGAGAATAGACAAGGGCATTTAGAACAAGAGCACGGTTTGCTTCAGGTTTTCTTCCTGCAGATCTAACTTAGTTTCCAAGTATCTGGGGACAAGGAGATCCAACCAACAGACTCAGAACTCTTGAAGAAAGTATGAGAGAGACCTAATGTGGAGACTGGGAATACTGTAAAATTAAAAAGTCTGAATTGATAAGCCGACTCTGAGCCCCACTACTTCTAAGGCATTGTCATCTGGACAAGAGGCCACCACCATGGCTCCCTGGAGGAAAAAGTTGCCTGGCTCATGGGGACACAGCAAGTTCAATATATGGACAAACCTGGAAGAAGCCTATGATGGCCACCTCAGCAGCAGAGATGAATTCCTCGGCAGCTGGGACATCTGTGAGCCACATAGGTCCCTGGGCAGTACCAGGACCATCTAGAGAGAGAAGTAAAAGATGTCTGGATTGTGAGGTAAAGAAGCAGCTCTATAAGTGCAACTTATATAAGGCCAAGGAGATTGGAATTTCTTGGAAAGCTGTTACCATTCCAAGGCTTTTAAAAAAAATCTAACATATGGAAGTGGCCTCCCCTTATGGTCACTCTCTGAAGGATTCTGTTAAACTTCTCTTTGCAAGGCAACGCACATCTTTATCATCTTTATCCAGCATATTTTTGGAAAATTTTCCAGGTTTAGAAGGAAAGTACCCAGAGAACTATCACACTCCCCTCCCTTCTAAAATTTTTCCCTTATGGTCATGCAAGTGCTTTCCATTTTACCTGAGGACTCTTCAACTTCTCCAGCAACTTCTGGGGCCAGTTCACATGTGAGGAGAAATAAGAGTAACAGGTACCTGGAGCAGCTGGCTTTCATTGTTCTTCTCCTGCTCCAACCCTGGACTCTGTATTTAGGGATGCCAATTCAGGGCAGCCCACTCTATGTTTAACTCGCTGTGCTCTGGGAACTTTGCAGCTGGCTCTAGGGGAACCTTCAACTTCTGAGATAAATGACCATGTTTAGTGACAGGGCCTCAGAATATAACCAATCAGAGTCTGACAGGTTCATTTGAATAAAAAAGTTATGTACTCTATGCCAGGTATTGACCTAAGCACTAAGAACACAAAGATAACTATGGACCCACCCAAGCCTTCCCAGCTTAGGTTGTTCATGGGAGAGATGGACACATAAAGAGATCATTTAAATATAAAATAGAAAGTGACTAAAAAATAGAAAAATCCATAAAGTACCCTGGATAAATAAGATTTTACCAGCAACACAAGAGAATGACTAGTCATTGAGAATTTCAGGAAGAAGGGAAAAATAATTGTGGGCAGAAAGGCATGCTGGGATATGCTTGCAATAGTTCTTTCTATGATAAGCAAAGCATCCGAGTATTGGCTTCATTTTGTAGGTGACGGGAACCTACTGAAAAGTCCTAAGCATGAGAGAAACTATGTTTGGTTTGGCCCACAAGTGCCTATGGGAAATCCAAGATAAAATTTCCACAGGCCTTGTGATATATAGGTCTCAAGCTTAGGAGAAACTCCCATAAGTAAATATTATGAAAGAAATCAAATTCAGAGTTTTCACCATCTGTATTCTGAACGCTCATTACCCCAATGTACTATAGTAATGCATTCCCAAGGATGTAAATACTCCCAGAACTGTGGACCCCAACCCCATTCCTCAGGAAAACTGGAATGTGAACCCTTTGGTTACCATATTTGTTTGATAGAAGAAATCAGGGAAATGAGGGTCTCAGTCAGAACAAAAAGTAGTTGTTTTATTCTTACTCTCTTGTGTTGTTTACAGTATCTCCCACAAAAGAAGAACCCCAACTGGCAGGGCATGTGACAGGGCATTGAGCCAGCAGCAACCACCAAAGAATCCAGGAATTGGAATGAGCTACTAAACCTAAGGCAAAAGGGCTGTTCATGGTAGTTTGCCAATTTCCTGGCCTCTAGTTGCTCAGACAGGAAGAAGAGAGGGAAATGTTAAAGGAGATGGAGAACTTGAAAGAACTGGCTCTGACTGGGACCGAGTCAGAGGAAGCAGGCAGGGTTAAAGCCTGAGTATTAAGCCTCAAGGGGTGGGATGAGGTTCATCAATATGGAAAAGTGGGCGGTCTTGGAGAAGGAATCTAGCTGTGAACAGGAGGGAGGAGGGACAGGGTGCCCTTGTGACTAGGAGGATTCTGGGTGGCAAGGGGAGGTTGAGGGATGGGCAGATGCACTCATTCTGTCCAATCCTTCTTAATGGACAGGTTCCACTCCCAGGTGAGGTGGTCTTGCTTGTCATCATCGGTGAAGAAGGACTTGTTGTGGTATGTGCCCCTGGCCAGCATGCCCTTGGGAGCCTCCTCAGTCGGGGTGAGGAATTCATACTCCTCTGGCCGAGGCCCATAGCTGCCAACCATAAATGTTGCTTTATCCACTAGGATGAAAGAAAAGTTCATGAGGGTAAGAGTCTGCTAGAGGAAAAACACACACTGAAAATTAGGGAATTTGGTGCACAGCCTCTATTAGAGGAAGCCAAGAACAATAGTTTCCAAGCCTGGCTGAATGTCAGTTTTACCTGGAGCATCTTGTTTTTCTTCACATTACTTTTTTATTAAAGGGACTTTCAATAACAGTTTCCTTTGTCTCTCTCCCAAAGACTGTGGTTCAGTAACCTGCTGTGGGTCCCAAGAATCAGTGTTTGATAAAAGCATCATGGCTCATTCTGATTATCAGGAAATTTGGGGAACCAGTGTCTTAAGTCTTTGGGAATCCAGGCTCTTTTTATGTAGCAGATTATACCATTTGAAAAACTTTAACAAGTTGAGACCTCAGGTCTGGTCTCAGCATTGCAACTACCTAAGTCATATAATGTTTTGGGCCTCTATTTCTCTATATAACAAACTTTAAGTACTGTTATCTACAAGCTATCATTCTATGAACATATTAACTGGAGGATATATTACAACAGGTGGTGATCAGAATAGGCAGAATTCATGGATGCAATAATTGGATGGAAGGGAAAAATCGGCAAGTTGGTAAAAAATGAAGCATTGTGGCAAATGATGAAAATAGCTAAACAAATTTATTTACAGGTGAATAACTGGATTAGAAAGTATAAATAAAGGTAAGGAGCTTGACAGGTAGTATATAACTGGCCCTTTAAGCGTTAATATATTTGCAGGAACAGCTACAGACACATAATCTTCCTCTTGCCAAAGTGAATCAACTTGGTTTCTATGCTCAAAGGGAATAGGAAATTGAACTATTCATTCATGAAATCAGGAGTTGAAAGTCCAATTAGTCTCTTACTGGTCAACAGTTTTCTCTGGGATTTGAGTAATTGATCGGTTCTGCTGTCAAGTGAATTTATCCATGTCTTCCTGCTCCATTGTTTATTTGTGGGATTAGCCTGTGCAGTACTGTTTCCCCCCTGTGGGGAAGAGAGTCTGGAGCAGAAAGGAACTGTGAAAGTGCTTCTGTTACCTTCCCATCTTTTCCTCTGAACCCATATTAATCAAAGAAAACTGAAGGCGAGTTCCTGATGCATGTCAAGAATAACAACAGAATAAATAACATGCTTATACTATTTTTTTCACTTAGATAGCTTTTCTCAACCCTAGAAAGATTTCTTTTTTCCTTTTTCTTTGTTAGAAAATTGAACACTGCCTTCCACGATCCTGCTCCCAACACACATAGGCCTTTCCTGTCTTGCATTTCTCTGACACGTGAGTTTTTCATCTAGCATTTTCTATTTTACTTTTGTGAGTATTTTTATGTCCTTTATCTCATGCAAACATAATTTGGTTACTTTTCCCATATGAATAATGGAGCTGAATTCCAGAGGCTGAGTGTTGAAGGTCAATGGCTGACCCGATCTAAACTAGATATCCCAAATGTTGACCTTGCCAATAATGCCTAGGTCAGAGGTATTGTGTGCCTTTTCATAGGGCGGGCCTCCACAGCTTTTCTCAGATTCTTATAAGAGTCTATTACTAAAATTTGTTAATAATCAGAAAGAAGCAGATTGAGATAGTATAAAGTCTGAATTCCTTACCTTTAAGCCCAGTCCGATAGGTGTGCTGGACATACTTCAGGCCTGACACAATATCCTTGTTCACCTGTTAGTGGGAAGGATCCACAATTCCATTCTTTAATTCATATTAAAAACAGGCTTTCACTTTTCCTCCTCATTCCTACTGATCCTGCCTAGCTATCTTCTCTGAGGATGAAAAAACTAAATATTTAATCAGAATGAGTATTCCTATAATTACTTAGTGTGATTGCAAGGCAGAAATTGGAGAGAAGAGATTGAAAGATTCAAAGTTGCCAATCCAATTTTAAGCATTAAATACTATCACTTTTATTGTTTTGGAGGAGAGGGGTGGTTAATTAAAACATTGTTCCATTATTCTTCATCATATTCCTCCTTCCTCAATGGTCTAATAGTCTTGAGCTCCCCTTCCTCAATACTGCAGCCAAAAGACTGTCCTTGTCTCAGGAAAGGTTATGAAAATACCAATGGGAAATATTTTGTAAATATCTTAAAACCATCACCTCAGTGTGACCCACTTAGCATATGAAAAACAAATGACAAGGAGAAAAGTGGTAATGGAAAACCAGGTCTGGGAGATGGTCATGATCACCATTTAACTGAGTCTGGAGTGGGAGTGAGATGATGGGCTACATGGACTCATCCTTTCCTGTAAGTAATGGGGGAAGTCCACTTGCATCAGGCAAGCATTTGGGGTGTCCGTCCTTGTCAGGTGTTGTCTGAGATACTGCCGCTTTCCCCAAGACTTTCAAAGAAAATTCCCTAAAGCAGAATGAAAATAGAGACAGCCCAGCACTTTGTTTTTCCATGACTCATTTTACCTGGGACTGAACTGGGTTGTCTGTTAATTTCATACAGTGGTCATGTCTATACAAACAAATCAAAGTGGACATTGAGTCATTAGTCGGAGGGCTTGGGTAACAAGTGACTTGAAGAATTAAGATCTCGTCAAATAATTTTTCCCCAGCAATAATTATGACTACCTGTACGTGTTGGCTACTATAGTTTCACCACTAGAACCACAGTAGGCCACGTTTTTAGAGTGTTATAAAGTTCAGGCAAAAAATAAATAAATAAATAAAAAATAGAAGAACCTTGAGAGCAACTGACAGAATGAAAGAGGATTTTAGGATGTGTTAGTGGTATTATACACGCAGATTTCCTTGGAAATCTTTCAAGAGACTTCAGTAAAGATCTAAATTGCTTTTCAATTGTTTTCAAATTTGATCTGGTATTTCCTGTAACTGTAGCTTCATGCTGGGACAGACCACAGGCAGGTTTTGTGTGGGTCACACAGAGCCTTTTTTTTTTTTAATTAAAAAAAAATTTTAATGGTAGAATCTGACCAGAGAGTAGTTTTTCTCCTATTAGGGACAAGGGTAATCTTTACCTGCCATATTTTCATTTGCTGAAAACTGGCTTACTAAATTGACAATGCAATAGCATAAATGATTAAAAATTGCACTGATGTGTAACTCATTTTAGGTGTTTTGAATACAATGCTTTATCAAACCTCCAGGTGCTCTAGTAATAAATAATATGACAGGAAACAGAAATCACAGTTCAGTGCCAATTACAGAGTACAGGTCAAGAAAAATATTTCCCAAATGAAATAATTCTCAGGCATATTTGTATTGGTGGAGAGTAATCTTCATCCACCCTGAATAGTATCCTGTACCTAGGGGAAAGAAAGGCTCAGAATGCAAGTAGAGAGAGCAGATGAAGTCTTGGTGGAGCCTAGTCCCTGGAGAATATGACTGAGCGGTGAATAAGGGGCAGCCAAGGCAAACACAGACTATGAAGCCAAACAGTGCATTTCTGACTTATTTGAGAATCAAGGCTATTTTTCTGGTGTTTGTGGTTCCTTGTTGGAATTTATGCCCTATTCATTAGGTGTCAGTTCATCCCTTATTTAGTTTTGCTCATACTTGGTCACGTGCTCTGCAACTGCAATGGCAATTTTCAGATATTTAGCAAAGAAAACACTCCCTAGATTTGTCTCATTATTGAGCTATTAGAGCTAAGGCTTTATCTATTCCATTTTCCTATTTGTTGATCCACTTATTTGTCTTTTTTCTCATTATAGATACCATTTAGAGAGCTTTGTGTGAAATATTGGAAAAAAAGGGTATACAGTTTCACCCTGCCTCGAGGAGCTTAGGTTGCACAAGGAAGAAATGTCATAAATAGTACAGTGTGTAGCAGCATGCAGCTCATGGGTATGTTAGGAGTTCACAGAGTGAGGGACACTTTGGCTTCGAAGCATCCTGGCTACAAAAAGTCATGAAGCTAGGGTGGGTCTAGACAGGTAGGGTTCAGAGCTGAGAAGAGAACTTTCCAGACCCAGGTCAGGAGATAGAGTGGGAGACAAACAAAAAGTGTGCCAATGTGATAATGCAAGAAATTTAGTAATTGATTATAGGGATGATTAAAACCCTGTAGAAATACACAGGCAAAGATACTTACTTTGAAGTTGATTTTGACTCTGTATTCAATACCTTCCTTTAGCACAAAGGTTTCTTTTTTGAGGGCTTCAAGATCCCCTGTGAAAAAAAGATTTAGAAAGAATTTAGTCTCCTCAAAAGCAGCTGCAGAAAGAGATGAATGAATCTAAGCATCAGAGCCATTTGTGGGGCCTATTGGAGCAACATGATCCACAGGGACCTGAGTTTCAAAAAGCATTTGAGATCTGTTCCTGTGTAAAATCTTACAGTTCAGTTACAAAAGAATCTTGGTGAAGACTTTCCCTCTGAGTTTAATGACGATGCTAAGTATATATAATGTTATCAGTAATGAGTTATAAAGATAATTTTTCCCAAATATTTTGACTTCAACTGATGAAGGTAAATCCTTTCTAATTGTCAACAATAAAATGTTTAAACCATCACAGAGGAAAATCTGAGTCATCTTTTACTCTATTGAAAGTTGATAAATATATATGTAACATGACCTAGAGATGATTAAAAGATTTGCTCCTACCCCTCAAATAAAGCTATAAGAAAAATATGTTCATGTAAGTTATGTGCTTTTATAGATTTGATAATGTGTGTGGCATTTTCTAGCTTTTAAAAACTGCTTCTTTTGATTCTTTTTTATCATTCTAAATAGATATTCACTTTGGATATTGCTTTTGTATTTGCTTTTATAATCTCATTTTTCTTTAAGGAAGAGCACTTCAGTTGTAAATGTTTCAAGCTTCAAATAACTGGAATCTGTCCCTAATACCTGTACTCTGGTTAAGGAGGTAATTGTGCTGTGTTCTTTTCCTGAGGTATAATTTGACATTCAGGGTGTGTGTGTGTGTGTGTGTGTGTGTGTTGTATAGCTCTGTGTGTGTACTTCATTATGAAAAGTATAATGCCTCTGCCGTGCAGATCAGTATCTTCCTCATGATAGGAAACCAAATTTGGGTCTTCTCTGCAGGAAAAGGGGACAGAGACCAAACTTTCTCTGCAATATCATCAGGCCCTCTTGATCAGCTTCCCTTAGTGCTAGCTCAGACTTTATCTTGCAAAGTGACCGTTATACCTGGTAACATTGCATAATTTTGTACAGGAAGAGGTCTGAGTCCTGGTGAGAGACAGCAAGTTTCTCGGGGAGAGATGCTGTAGCCTGGAGGTCATTGAATGTGTGCCTGTGTGTCTGCTCTAATGGTTTCAGTTGAACAGGAAGTGTCTTCTCAGCCTCTGATTTCCTCCTTCTGACAAAACAGTCCATATAAGGTAAAGAGTCGATCTGTCCTGTCAGAGGGAAGTTCCTCGCTGCCAAGCCCACTGTTCCAGAGTCTTGCTTTGCTTTGCCTCACCAGAGTCCAAATTTTGAATATGGCAGTAATTTCTTTTTCATCCAAGATCTGCCTTTAATGCCTCCAGTGTCTGGTTCTGGGACCTTTGCTCATCGCCCCCCAGGTGCCCTTTTCCCTCTTAACACCCAGCTTGCCAATCTCTCCCCATCTCCTCAAGACCTCAGACTCAGAAAAGGACTGGACCCTTAGTCACAACTGGTGAAAGAAAGTCACCTCTTTATTTGTACATATTTTGCAGGAAATCTGCTGATATAACAAGAACGAAAGCCCTAAGCTTGAGTATTAAGTATTTAATACTTTAATAGTGGGATTTCTAGCTCTGTTCAGGAGGCCTTGGTGAGGTCCTCACCTTCCGGTAAGTTTTATTGCTGATGTAACATTAATACTTTCTTTGGTGTTTAGAGTGTATAAACATTACAACTACAGAAGCATACAGCTTGCTTCTTAATATTTTCATCTGTAGTCTTTCTTAAATGAATAGTAATTTTCCTGTTATCATGTGGAAATAAACATCTGAAGTAAATATCATACAAGGAATTACATCAAGGGTCTCTGTCTACCTCCAACTCCTTCAGTTAAACTGAGTTGAAGTTTGGTTTTTTTTTTTTTTTCATCAAACATGGTAAATATTGGGTATTCTACCAGTATTGATCTATGAACTGGTCCCTAGCATATATATCTCTGGGAGTCACCTCACTAGGATCTTCTGTAATGAGGACAGGGAACAAAGACTAGATTTTCCCTGTGATATTTTAGGTCCTTCTGAACAGTACAGATATATGTGTCCACTTACCGGTAAGATCCATAGTGATTGGTCCTGGTGCACTATCACAAACCAGGGTAAGTCGGGTAACAGTGACATTGGGGACTGTTGGGTCTGCAAGATAAAAAAAAAAACAAGATAAGCACAGAGAAGAGATATGTGTATAGTGTGTGTGCATTTCAAACAGAAGAGACCAAATATAAAGAAAAAAATGGTTCTCTATCTGGACAAGTAGAAGTGACAGATTCACCATGCTTGGTCTCGATGGCCTTATAAATTGCAGTGATGCTAGTTCTGCTCCAGCAGGCATTGCAGGCTCATCTTAAAGAACAACATTGTGTATTTCACGAGTGGCTGTAGGTCAGCTGTTCTGCCTATTGGGCATTGCACGTTCATGTCTTTGGGCCCTGTCAAATCCTGCCATTGTGTATGTGGAGGAGATGAATGGTCAGGAAAGCACTGAGCAAGGGAAAGAGAGAAAATGTGAGAGATAATGGAGAGAGGCGGAATGCAATTCTAAGTGGGAGTCTGGAATTCTTTCTAAATCCTCTCTATATGTGATTTTTACTGATCTCATTGCTGATTTACATCCTATCTCCTATGAAGACTTAATTCTACAGCCCATAGCTTTATTGAGCATGTATAAATTGTGCCTCACCCACCCAACCCTGCAGGAAGTTGGTCCTCTTTCCTTTGCCTCTGCTCTTGAGTGGCTGCAATGCATGTCCCACCTGGGGCCATCCACCTGCCCCCTCCCTGTGCACACACACCTGCTATCACAGGACCGTCTCCCAGCAGCGTTTTCTTGTACTTAGTTAGACTTTCATCATCTTTATCCATCTCCTGAAGCTCCTTCAGGGATTTCTGAGGTGGAGGCTTATAATTGAGCTTGCTGTCTAGCTCATCGTCACCATCATCCAGCTGTGGTTCTGGGTCCTTTTCAGTCATCTTGATCTAGAAGAGAGAAGATGAAAGTCCTTTAGCCAAAGCCACTGGATATGGAAGATGTTTGAGAAACTGCTGCTAGCACCTTCCTTGTCCTAGTGGACCTCTGCAATTAGCAGCGATTTTCCAGATTTGTTCCTAACTCAATCTCATTATGTTTCATAAATAAGAAGAGATTGTATTCTAGTCATTTCTCTGACCCTCCTGATTTTTCTTTACTGCAAAGAGTTTCTCCTATTCATTGAATACAACTGTCAAGAAAGAAATAAATGATCTGTGAACAATCTAATACAACTGAAGAAAACATAGCACAAATGTTCCCCTAATAATAATAAATAGCCTGATTCAAATAGTTACAGGAATGACCAGTCTTTCCAATCCAGATGGACTTTCTAGTGTCAAAGCTCCCTGTATGCACACCTGCAGTTACAGTGATTTAAAGAGATAGGCAGAGTACCCACCAAAGAAATGGTTGGCTTCTTCCCATTAACTAACTCTTTCCTAAAGCCTGCATCACTCAAAGGTGACTCATGAGGAACTGTGGACCTTTATAATACCTGCTTGAAGTGTGTGGATAGTTCCCCGCCCCCCAGCATTGTTAATAAGTCTTGAGAATGGGCACCAGGTTCTATGTTTTTCTTAAATCTCCAATGTTTGGACAGTTCAGGCATTATATACATTTTCACTGATTGACTCATCAGGTTTTAGATCTAAAGCCTTTCTGCTCTTTTTACTTGCCACAAAATAGCAAAGGAGTCTTGAATTCCCCTGGACAAAATTTTAAGTGTAAGTTTGTTTTTAGTACCTATCCATTTGCCTCCCCTTTCCCGACCTACTTACCCTTAAGTCCCTCCCTAGCCTCCCCAAGTTTCCAGTGATTTTCTCTAAGACCCCATCTGGGTAGACCCTGGAATGTTTCTTCCTTTATCATTTCTTACATTGACTTGTTTTGTGTTCAAACACTTAAAGAATACCTACTAAATCTATGTGTGGGTGTTAATGCCTGAGAGCATACGTAGTCACAGATTTTCAGAGCTGACATGAATCTTAGAGGTGATCTGTTCTATCCTATCATTTAAAAAAATTGAGATCCAGAAGTTAAGAGAATTGCCTGAGTTCACATAGCTGGATGTGAGCTGCCATGTCCTCAATAAGAGGAAAAATTCCTACTGGAAGAACTTAAGGGCCTCTGAGTGGTGGCAAGATACCTGGTGTCAGGGAGATAGCTGGGCAAGGAAATCTGGCTTCCTTCAGTTATCTGGAGGGAAACTCACTTCCAGCCTGTGGGTAAAGCCTTAATTCCTCTTAAGGAACACACTTTAAGATTGTATCCATCACATCTTACCTGAGAGACATTGCAAATCTCTTTGTAAAGTTATTGAAAGTGAAAATATTTTCGTCCAAACTCAGTTGTGGTTTTGAATTTCAATGTCACTGTCATTGGCAATGGGAAGAAAGATAATTTGGAAGTGAGGCCAACAAAATCAATTTCAACAGAACAAAAAGAAAGAGGAAGGAATGAAGGAATGAAGGAAGGAAGGAAGGAAGGGAAGAAGGAAGGAAGGAAGGAAGAGAAGCCAAATACTAGGAGCCTAGATCAGTTCTGAAAGGAGCATTACAATGCCAGGTCCACTTCCTGTAGGAAGGAAACGTGTAGGCCTGTTCCCATGGCAACTCCAGTCTCAACTGAAGAGCAAGCATCACTCAAACCTGAGTCTCCAGAGACCAACAGAAAAACATAGTGACTAATCCAACTCATATTCCAAGCTACACTCAGGGTTGGAAAAAGGAGGAGGAGGAGGAGGAGGAAGAGGAAGAGGAGGAGAAGGAGAAGGAGGAGGAGAAGGAGAAGGAGGAGGAGGAGGAGAAGAATGCAGTGCATGGATGTTGTGGTTGTGGGTAGTTTAAGGATAATCAATCATTAAGGGGCAGATGAAGAACAAACTGGATAAGACTATTCAGATGAGACAGATTCACTTCTGGGGGCCTAGGAGACTAACAGCTAACCCAGTGGAGGCCACAGGATAAGTCTGCTGACAGGGCATCAGGAAGGCTATTTACAGTAAAGAGGGCACCTCAGCTGCCATGGACAGGCCTTTCTGGAATATATTGCTTACTTCTAACCAGTCACTGCTTGAAGCCTGGGTATCAGATGGTGACATTACACTCAGTCAGTACCTCAAGGTGACTTCACTAACCTGCAGGGAATTGAAATTCTGCAGCCTCAGATCTCAGTTTTGAAGGCAGTATGAATGAGGGGTAGTAGGGAGAGACAGAGATAGAAATAGATCTCGTCTAGTGTGATAGATTTGGTCTAGTGGAATATTTGCTAACTGTGTGACCACTGGCAAGTCAATGTATCTATTATCTTATTAAATCTAATATTTTGTCAGTTCTGCACTTTCCTGATTCATTGCAAACATAATTGTTTCATAAAGATGATAAATAATTTTTTTTCAAAGACATTGAAGAATGAAGGGTAATGAGGGGTCACTGTATGAACTTGGTACTGTCAAGAGGAGGAAATTTGGGACCACATTTTAAAATAATTTGGTCTAATTATAGCATAAGAAAAAGAAATATGAGGCCATGTAATCCAAAACTAGCTTACTGTGGAAAGCTGATTAGAAAAACATGAAAATGTATTAATACAACAAATAAAAAAACTGGAAAAGCAGTTCTTGGAGAAAGCCTTTTGAAACAAAATTGAGATCACAACTAGTTGGTAATCACCTCTTGTTTCCAAGAAATTGCACTTTAGCACATACTGATGTTTATGATATTTGCTGGAATGGAGGAGCTGAAAGCTGAGCTATCCAACCATACTGAAAAGGCCCTCTTGGTTTGATTGATGGTTCTTAATCTTTTTGGGTATTATAGATCTCTAAAAATCTGATAAACATTATGGTCCTTATCTCAAGGGAAAAAAAAGAACAAACTCATGAAATTGTGCAAATGATCCAGGGGTCATGGACTCCAAAATCCTTCATAGACTTTACAGGAGTCCAAGTTCTCTAGATTAGGAGCATGACCTTGAAATTGTAGCCCCCTGGAAAAATGAAACAGACAGTTGAGTGTTTGCAGAAGAGTTTCCTTCCCCAGGAGGTCCAGCCAGGTAGATCATTGGCACATACAGCCTCAAACTCATGATCATGTCCATCCATCCAAAATGTTGAATGTGTAGAAGATATGGTGACAACTGGGTCTCAGGGAGTGTAGCCATCACACCAGGCAAAAAGCACAGGTGCCCAGGGAGAGCCCATTAGAAGAATACTGTGGTCAACCTATTTATTTTGGATGATTTTTCTCCTCATTAAATTGGCCTTATTATTGCACAAGTTTGGTTCTGGATCTCTAGTAGTAAATCCTTGAGCAAATATCCAACCATTATGGATTTTATTCTCAGCTTGGGACTCAGGGAATTATATCACATATATATGCTTTCTTTTCTAAACCTGTTTATGCTGATTTTTCTTGACCTGCAGTCATGTGTCAGCTAAGTTACCAGAAACTTAATTATATTGTCTTACTCATGTAAATAAGAGAATATCTATTCTGTTTTATTTTTTAACATTTATGCAATTTCCACAAAGAGGCTACATTCAAAAATTTAATTTAATTTAATTTTTTCACAGATGTAAACCTTCTTTTATTTCATCCAACATCCCTTTGCATAATAAAGGATACAATATAATAACAGTAGATAGTTAACTCTTATGATGAGCTCCTAACTTAACAATTTAGTGGTGAGTGCTTTACATGCATTATTTCATTATAGCATCACCGTGTTGCAAGGTAGACTGTACAAAATTAGAATCTGGGACAGAAAAAAATATTGAATATTTCAACTACATAAAAATTTAAAATTTCTATTCATAAGTAGTAATAAGTAGTAAAAAGAGTAATGGTTTAAGCTGTCAGGATGAAATATTTGTAATAAATATATTTAACAAGAGATTAATATCTGGAATACATAAATACTTTCTAAAAACTAATTTAAAATTTCATTTTGTATATTTAAGGTGCTTTATAGCATAATGTTTTGAAATAAACACAGATAGGAAAAACATTAAGAGTCAGGCAAATTAATATCCACGTCACATGGCTATCCCCCACCACTGCCTTTGATCATAGGAGAACCTAAAATGTATTCTTTTAGCAAACATTATGAATAGAGTAGAAAAGCATAGTACAATATCATTATCTCTGGGTAACCTTAATTCTCCCAAAGTATTTGGTTTAACAATGATTTCCCAAACAATATGTCTATATATTTAATGACAAACAAAGATTTTCCCTTTTTAGCCTCTCATTTTACAGGTATTTGCTGAAGTAAGATTAGGAGTTTTATGCAAATTCAACAGGTTGATTTCCAATCCTATCATCTAAAGAACAACCAATTTTATTATTGATATTAATAAGTGCTTTCTTAAGTATTATCTCATTTAGTTCTCATGACAATTCTGTGTGCACCTTCGTTCTCTTACAGATCAGGAAACTAAAATTCAGGTTAAATCACTGCCCAAGAAGATAGGTCATATAAGGGACAGAATTAATGTCTGAGACCAGGTTGTCTGACTTGTAGGCACTATGGTTTGCTGCTTCAATTGTCTTGACTAAGAAGTCATGGTAAAATTAGAGCTTGTTAGTCTTCTTGGGAATCTACCTGGGGGTGCACAAGCAGTGGTAAATATTTCTTTGCAAACTTTGCAGGGACAGCTTTAACAAAGCAGGGAAGTGTCAATATTGAGATGGTTTCAGTGCAACTATATTCCTGCATTGCCTACTGCAAGTTTCTTAACCTCCCTGGGTCCCCAGTTTTGTGCTCTGCAAAATTAAATTGTTGCATTAGAAGATCCGGAGACCCCTTCTTAATTCAATGGCCCTCAAGCTCCCTAGTTTAAAGAACAATGTGAAATTAGAAAAGAAAAGCGGAAGTGAAGAGGTTGTGGAGAACCCAGCCCATCAGTATAGAATATTCTGATTCTGGTTGGGCTTTTCTTACTTTCCTCACCCACTACTCCACAAAGTGGGGTTGGTTTTAGTGTGTTTGTTTTTGTACTTTGGTTCTTTACCCACAAAAAGTGAAATGGAGAATTAGTCAAATATATGTTTAATGAGGCTGATGTGGACTCTGTCAGGCCCCAAAGCACACATGGCTCTCTGTCACCAGACATCTCTATTCCACACAGGCTGACACAGGTGGATTTTCACAGTGGCATCCTCTCCCCTCCCCCCTCATGCCTGCCATTCAGCAAAGCAATATCAAGTTTTAGATGTGCTGAGTTGGGGATTTAATCTTTTCAGGCTCCATTAAAATGCTAAATTGAATCAGGATGCTCATGGCATGCATATAACATAATAAAAACTGATGTTTTTGCTTGCAGATACAGTGAAAATGTGAAGACAGTGGAAGCGAAGCACACTTGAGCATATACCTGATCTTAGGATGAAGCATGCTTGTCTGGTCTATTAACACAGCTCCAGGTGAGTTGAGGTAAACTCCTGGGTTCACATGAAACAAATCACCTGGGTAACTTAGAGAAGCATGACCTTCATATGCGATGGAACACAGACTTAGAGTCAGGTGGCCATGGATCCAAATCCTGGCTCTGACTTATTACAGGACTTAAGCAAGTTATTAACCACAGTAAGCCTCAGTTTTACCCTCACCAGCAAAGTAGGAATAATAATCCTTCCTTGTCATTTGAAGGGTTGGAGAAAACAAGAAAATTTTAGGACTGTACTGGTCAATGGTAGATGCTCAACAAACATTAATTCCCCTTTCTTCTCTCTTCCCCTGCCCCGATGCTGTTTTGTGGCATAGCTTCAGTGATGCTGGGAACTGATGGCCTGGGTACCAAAGGCTTTTACCCCAGACAGAAGCTGACCAGGTCCATACCTTCCTCCTCAAAACCAGATTCTGCTTCTTTGAGCAGTGGGAAAGAGGCAAGAAGTTATGGGCATTGCAAGGACTGTTTATAAACAGAAGCAAACTTAAAATTGGACTATAACTACTCTTTTTTCTTTTGAAAACGTCCACATAATTTAATTTTAGATTTAACTTATTGTTCCCTTGCCTAATTGAAGCCAGAAGTCACTCTGAATGATGAGAAACGTCAGTGGACTTCAACACAAGCCAATGGAAACAATTCCTTATGGCACTGGAGCAACACTTAGCTCAAGTCCTCCCAAAGCTGGATCTGTTGGAGTGTGCTATGCTAGATTATGCATCTAGACACATAGATCAGAGGTGGTGTTTTTTTTTTTTTTTTGTACAAGGGATTGAACTCGGGCACTTTGCCACTGAGTCACATCCTCAGCCCTATTTTGTATTTTATTTAGAGACAGGGTCTCACTGATTTGCTTAGCACCTAGTTGTTGCTGAGGCTGGGTTTGGACATGGAATCCTCCTGCCTCAGCCTCCTGAGCTGCTGAAATTACAGGCATGTGCCACCCTACCCAGCTAGACCAGAGTTTTAAAATATGAGGTGGAAAAGGAAAAGATAAGAGACATAGAGAGGGAAGAGGCAGAGTGAGAGAGAGATGAGGAAGGGAGAGGAAGGGTAGGAAGGAGAGGGAAAGAGAGAGAGAGAAGGGAAGTGGCCAGAGAGGAGAGAGATGTGGAAGTACCAAAAGTAGGGGATTTCCATCAGAGAAGATTCTACACAAGTCTCAGCATGCTCGTTAACATGGTGTCTCCACTCTGTGTTGGCTAGGTTATGTCTTCCCCCAAATCTGGGACTACAGGTCTAGAGCAAGCAGGTCATGGAGAGCTGGACCATCTCGGAAAGAGTGTCACCATTTCAGAGCTGGTCCAGGATTTGACTGCTCTGCTGCCTGCCTGGCAATTTGGTGCATTTGGGAGTTTCAAATCTGTTATTACTAAGGACACCAGAAGGTGCTGGGTTCTGGAGTCCGCCCTGGCCTCTCAGGGTTTCCAGCGATATGGGGGGACTCCCTCTGTTCTCTGTGCTCTCATTAGCTCAGCCCCATGAACAGCCAAACCTTCAAAACCGGATAAGAAGAAGCACAGCAGCGCCTGAGAGGAGCACACCTTGTTAGATGCAATAAACTTTATAATTAATCCAGATGAGGCTACAAGTTTATAGAAGTAGAATTAACATTCTTCTTCGTGAGAGAAACAGTAGATTATTTCTTTCTGAGTGTTCATAATATGCTCTTCTTTTAACCTGGCCTTTCTTTTCTTTTTTTGCAGAAGGAGTGAGAACTAATAGAACCATTAAGCATTTCTGAATTCCCACCATGTGAAGTCACTCTTTCATGAGTTTTATTTTAAATAATCCTTTAAAAAATGATGCATTAAGGAAGCCACTACTAGGCAAAGGTTTGTCTACTTCAATGACTCAGTATATTCATGGAAGTTTTAAATTAAGCATGAAATGTTACTATTCAAAAACAATTTTTTATGACCTTGTGTACTGAGAGTACCAGACCCTTGGAGGAAACCCAAATGAATTTTACCAGGTCTGGCTGTGGGAACCAGACTTAGTAAGTGCTTATGGAAAGATGGATGTTGAAGATGTTTCAGAAGCAATAAAACCCAGGGCCTGCCTCTGTAAGTCTCCAACATCCTAGGCAACGGTAACATTATCTAGGAACAGGGACACTCAGAACATGGAATTAGAGAAAACTATTCCACTGGATATTTCTAAATGCTGTTCTGAGGTATTGTAGCTATTGATTTTTGTTTTCTTTTCTTTTTGGTACCATTATGTGACTTTAGTGAAGCCATGTCTGAACATGTCTGAGCCTTAATATTCTTCCCCTGTCCTCTCAGGATAATAATTTGAATATACCTAATACTAGGCCTGGCACATAAAAGGTACTGAACAAGCATTGGTTCTCTTTTCTATCTGCTTCATTTTTATTCCCAGGGCTTCTCTCTTCCTGTTAAAGTTTCTAATATATTGTGTTCCCATAAACTTCTCTCAGAATAACTTTGCTGTTCTGAGCTCCCAGGGAAGACAGAATCTTAATGTTGCTCAGTGAAAATTTCCCTAGGGACAAACACTCATGTTCTCCAAAACAAGGAAGGACTAAATTCCAGTTCCTGAAAGATGTCGGCCAGAGATTGGTTGGCTAATACACGGTTATTCCTCATGGGTTTGATCTGCCCAGCATAGAAGGACAATGAATTGTTCTGTTCTCTGAAGTACACACATCTCACAAAATAATAAATTGATCTTGTTACTAAATCTGTGCTATATTTGGTATTAGGAAGGACATTTTCTTATAAATTGAACAAAAAGAAAAGGCAAGGTTAATGACATCTTTGGTGACTGGACCTCCACCCAGCAGGTCACCATAAAACCCTTGATTTCCCTTGCTTGATCATCCCTGCAATGAAGACTCAGGATGAAAGACCTCCTTGCAATGGCTCTTGGTGTCCATGTGAAGACCACCAAGTAAGGGTCTACCTCCCTCACCCTGAATGAAGAACTGCTCAGGGTTTATCTGATACCTGCAACAAATTACCCTGAGTCTAGAGTTCCATCATGGACTGTATTTATAGAATGTGCCACCTGAAAAGTTGGGAAGAAAGTACTTGAGTTCATGTCTAGCAGTTCTAATGGCAGCCAAACTTGAGACCTTCACAGTTTGAAGACCCAAGGTTCACTGTCGTAGCCAGGCCCACTTGAATTCTTTTAGAACCTGTTTCTTTAATAAATTGCTTGGCATCTTCCATGTTTGCTTTGAGTTCTCTCCAAAGTAAGGGGCTATTTTATTTTTGGCAATAACAGTAAACATCTTTCTGCCCATCCCTCTACAGGAATTTAACCCACAGTTTTTGTTACTGGTAGAAATTCTATCACTGTGTGACAGATGAGTAAGTAAGTGTGTTCTACGGCACTTCCCCTTGTACTCTAAGGGAGGACTTCATTGTGCATTTCTCTCATACCACCAGTCAGATTTTTAATGGAAAACAGTTTAGTGTTTGACAGCTCTGAATCATTTTTTTTTCTTTCTCTTTTCAACCAGTTTCTTTACACTGTCTGCTTAAAAACAGGAAACCACACATCTCCACCCCAGCACAACCCACCTTCCACCAATAGTCCATATCAGTTTGTATCTACAGGCTTTCGGTTTCTGAGCTTGGCCAAATGCCTGCTCCTGCCTTGCAGGAGACTCCTGCAGGCACTCCCCTGCAGGTATCTTCATGGCCCTTCTCCAGAACATTCAGGATTGCATCTCCCCTCCCTCTACAACTGTCTCCCCTGAGTCATCCTTACCACTCCTGCTCTGACTTCCTCTTCTCTGCAGAACTGTTCCAACAGCTTCTTTAGCGCTTTCTTATCATAAAGTTTGTGTTAAAAAAGAATGCCACCCCCAAGCCCTCCCAAAATCTAACTGTGGAGGGCAGTGGCTTAACTCAGTGACTTCCTATATTGCTCTGCACCCACCTGTAGCCTCCCCACCCCGAGGCATTTCAACTCACATTCAGTGCTTCACGTCTCTGTCCGGGGTGCCTCTGTCTCTCAACTCTGACTTCTGAGTACTGGCAGTTAAAACAGGAAGGAAGTTAGTGAGAAAAAAAAAAGTGTTTTAAACCTACTTGAAGAGGAAACCCTGGGCTGTCTCAAATCCTGTTCCTTTGCACTGCCTATCTCTTGATCAGCCAACTCTGAGCAGCATTCTTGCCAATTAATGGCACATGTGGGAGCCCATGTGACCTGATATGCATGAATGTACATGCAAGGGGATGGAGCCTATAGCAACGAGAATTATGAATAATTGTGCAGATATGTCTAAAAATCAAGTCACTCCAGTGCTTAAGCTTAGTGAGGCAAGCAGTCTAAAGCCAGCAGTAATGAATTCAAATAGCTTTACTTTGTTTCACCAACTTCTGTTCCTCCTAGGTGCCTGCCAGCTTCTTCATCAGCCAGCCATGTTGAAAGTGTGCTGGCAGTGAACGCAGAGTGGAAATTATGAATGTTAAGTGCATATACTTGGTGCTAAATTTAAAAATTTGTCCTCAAACAAATTTTTGGAGTTTTATAGGTTATAATTTCAAGATGTAGCTTCATATTGCACCACAAACAATAAAGTGTTGTTTATTTTAGGGTTTTTTTTTCCTAATTTTTCCTTCAAATTAAACAAAAGCTGAAGCACTCCCTTTGATCAAAACTAGGGATGCAGATTACAAAATAAAATGTGACTTCATTAATTCATAGTGTTCTAACTCAGAATCTGGGACAATTTCACAAGTGCTAAATTTGGTTTTATACCATATCTGAGGAAATGATTTATGAGACAATTAAATGGGAACAAGTTGCCAAGACCATATTTAAATCACGTGAGGAAAAAAGTTTTTAAGCGCCTAAGTCATACTCATTCTATGATATTGTCAATAATAAATGCTTATTTGTACTAATATTTCAGTATTTGTATTTATATCAACATGTTTAGAACTAACTATTCAAGCAAATCTGTTTAAGAAATGATCATTAATTTCAACAATATATAGATAGAATATGGCCCTTGAAATGAAGTACATAATTTTATTATAAACAGAAACATATACTAATATACATAGAAGGTAGTAGATTTTCCTAGCTTCTGGCCCTCTGGAGGGGGCACATTTATTCATTTGATATATCTGTGATGACTTCTTTTCTTCCAGGTACTGTTCCAGGCACTGGTATACACAGTAGACAGACAAACTCTCTGCGGTGCTATGGAGTTTATGTTCTAATAAAGGAACAATTAAAAAATAACATATGCAGAATACATTAACTGAAACAATGATTTAAAAATTATAAATTCCTGGTCTACCTGCTGCTTCCCATTTCTCACAATCTCAGGGAAGATATTATTAGCCTGGCATGACATTTTGTTCCTGCTGAGCTGAACCTGGCATGCCCTCACAATTTTTCTTAATGCAGGGCTATAAGCAAAGATGTTGGAGGTATTCAAGCTCCCAAATATTATAGAAGCAGTGTGTGTATGTGTAACCTATGTGCTACTGTTGGGGGAGGGGGAGAGCATTCATAATTTCATCAAATTTTCAAAGTAGGCCCTGACCTCAAGAAAATTAGAAATTATTGGGGCTGGGGATGTGGCTCAAGCAGTAACGCGCTCACCTGGCATGCGCGGGGTGCTGAGTTCGATCCTCAGCACCACATAAAAATAAAATAAAGATGTTGTGTCCACCAAAAACTGAAAAATAAATATTAAAAAATTCTCTCTCTTTAAAAAAATTAGAAATTATTAATTTAGACATCATTTTAAATTTTAAATAATAATTTTAAACTATGAACTTTCAGTAAGTTCAAGGGAAACTATTAGGGTCTCCTAAAATATATTTTAGCATCATGATCAGGGCAGTGGTCTACCTCAAATGACCTCTTCTTGTGTTCTGTTGCAGGTCATTGTTCACATGTGTTATCAGATGGGAAAACTGAAGAGGTTCCTTTAAGAGAGTTAAAATGGCAGACACTCCACTTCCAGTCCATGCTGATGAAGGTGGGTTATATACCGAGACTCCCTCTTCCACGTCTAATATACTGGTACAAGAAGGGGCCTGTCATGGTAACAGCCCGTAAACACTGCAATGCCTAATGAAATCAACAGATCTTGGAAACCTGCTTTAGAGTTTTTAGAGAAATCATTAAAACTTTTAAAGTATTTTCCAGCCATTGCAAGGATACAGCTGAGAGGTAAATTCTTGGCAACTCTTCCATGGGGCAAGGCCTTTGCCATGAACCTGACCTTTTTTGGGCACAGATATTTCTTAGAGGCTACAAAACACTCAGAAGGCGTTCTGCCCTAAGGCTGTTCATTCTGAAAAGAGTCCATGTGGCATCCACAGGAGCCCTGCTGAGGGAAGAGCTGAGTTTCAGGCAGGCATCCCAGTGCCAACTCCTCCTGTCAACATGGCCTTGGGCTAAATGGTTTTATTTCTCTGAGCCTTAATTTTTTCATCTATCAAAAAGGGATGATACTGATCTTCAAAATTGCTGGAAGGGTTGGAAATGATGTGTGATATCTAGCAGTTTTTACTTCACAGTACATGCTTAATAAAAGACCTGGGCTAAAAAAGCATCATTTCCATCATTATCATTTTTATCCTTTTGGCTGTTTAGCAAATATTAGAATAACTGAATCTAACTGCTCATGACCACTCCACGTGAATCTCAAATATTACCTCCTCCTTCTTTGAAGCTTTGCATCCACGATTCAGAGCAAATGAATTATTTTTTTCCCAAAATTTCTAGAATGTACAATTTTATAATATGTAATATATATGGCATATTGAACTACACTGTACGTTGTGTGTTTTTCTGAAATTCTAAAGTGTGTAATTATGCAGTATACTTTAGAACTCTAGTAAGCACTGTTTTGTATTGTTAAGCAATTATTTTGTGAATATTGAACTTATATTTCCAGCTAAATATAAAATGCTTGAAGGAGTGTCTCTTCAGGTCCTTGCCATTTATTGATTGGGTTATTTGATTTTTTTGGTGATTAGCTTTTGAGTTCTTTATATACCGTAGTGATTAGTGCTCTATCTGATGTGTGAGGGGTAAAAATTTCAATAGATGAATGGATTAAAAAATGTGGCATATATACACAATGGAATATTACTCAGCAATAAAAGAGAATAAAATCATGGCATTTGCAGGTAAATGGATGGAGTTAGAGAAGATAATGCTAAGTGAAGTTAGCCAATCCCAAAAAACCAAATGCTGAATGTTTTCTTTGGTATAAGGAGGCTGACTCATAGTGGGGTAGGGAGGGGAAGTATGGGAGGAATAGATGAACTCTAGATAGGGGAGAGGTATTGGAGGGGAAGGGAGGGGGCATGGGGTAATTAATGATGGTGGAATGTGATGATTATTATCCAAAGTGCATGTATGAAGATGCAAATTGATGTGAATATACTGTGTATACAACCAGAGATATGAAAAATTGTGCTCTATTATGTAATAAGAATTGTAATACATTCTGCTGTCATATATAATAAACAAACAAACAAACAAATAAATAAAATGGTTGAAGAAAGGATTACATCTTACATACCTCGTATTCCTTGGAATGCCCAGAATAATACTTAACTGAATTGTGTAATAATTTGTGTAAAATTATTCAGTAGAAATATGTGTCTAAATAGAACAGCTATGCCTGCATTCTTCCCCTACTCCACCCCTTGTTCTTCCAGGAGACTATGGCCTTGGGGAGGGATGAATGTGAATATGGTCATGTGCCAAGAGGGTAACTGAGACTTTTACTTTCTTCTTTTCTGTGTATGCTGTCAAGTGTCACTTAATGACAGATGTATTCTGAGAAATGTCATGAAGTAGTTTTGTTGCACAAATATCACAGAGTGCACTTTACACAAACCTAGATGGCCTAGTCTTACTATGCACATAGGCTACATGGGATAGCCCATTACCCTTAGGGTATAAACCTGTGCAGCAGGTTACTGCACTAAAACTGTAGGCAATTGCAAAACAATGGCAATGATATCTATATATCTAAACATATCAAAACATAGAAAAGGTGGAGTAAAAATATGGCATAACAGATTTTTTAAAAATTAAAAAATTGTGTGTAGGGTACCTACCATGAATTGAGTGTAGAAGACGAGGAATTATTCTGGATGAGTCAGTGAGTGACTGGGGAGTGAACGTGAAGGCCTAGGACACTGCTGTCCACAACCGTAGACTTTACAAACACTGCACACCGAGGCTACACTGCATTTATAAAAGTACTTTTATTCAATAATAATTAACCTTAGCTTACTATAAATTTTTACCTTATATACTTAAAAAAATTTAAACTCTTTTGTAATAGCTTCAAATGAAAATGCATTATGCAAATGTACATAATATTTTTCTTTATATCCTTATTGAATAAGCTTTTTTCTATTTCTATTTTTTTTAACTTTTTAAACTTCTTTGTTAAAAACTAAGACACAAACACACACATAGGCCTAGGTCTATGCAGGGTCAGGATGATCACTGTCACTTTCTTCCATGTCTTATGTCACTGGCAGGTCTCCAGGGGTAGAAACATGCCTGGAGCCATCATTTCCTAAGGTAACAGCTTCTTCTGGAACTTTCCTGAAGGATCTTCCCAAAGCTGTTTTATCATTATCTTTTTTTTAAATAATTATGAATAACAAAATAATGTAATTAAAAGTATACTATAGTCAATACATAACTCAACTATATTATCAAGTATTAGGTACCACACATAAAAAACAGTATGTTATGCTTTCACACAAACTGCAGTGCAGTATGTTGTTTATTCCAGCATCACCACAAATATGTAACTGTTGTGCTGCTATATTACTATGGCTACAGTGTCACTAAGTGATTGAATATTTTAGTTCCACTATAATATTATGGGACCATCTATGTGGTTCATCATTGACAAAAACGTTGTTATGAGGCACATGATTACATATGACATACCTGAACTACAATGGCTGTATTTCATAATTTTGGCATAAAGACTCTTCTTCTTTTTTTTTTTTTTTTTTTTTTTTGGTACTGGGGCTTGAACACAGCAGCACTATACCACTGATCTACATCCTCAGCCCTTTATATTTTTTGAGACACGGTTTTACTGAGCTGCGATGCTGGTCTAGAAGTTGCCATCCTCCTGCTTCAGCCCCAGAGTGCTGGGATTACAGGCATGAGACACCCGGCCCAGCTATAAGGACTCATTTCAAATTTAACGAACAATAATTCCCAATTAGATGTCAGAACCTGCCTAAAGGTAAAGACAAAAAAGATAAACAAAACATAATCCTAGACCTCCAGTTACTAATAACTTAATAAGGGAAGACAGAGACAAATTTGTTGTGAGCACAGGGAAAGAAAACGTACATGAGTATTGTGAGGGCATAAGTAAGGAAGTGGCCACGGTGCTCAGTCCTGAAGGATAGTAGGTGTTGGGCATTTGATGTGGGGAAGTTTGCAAGTGGGAGAGAAATTATCTGACATAAAGAAGCAGCAGAGGCAATGGTATCACATCCTAGTATGGTGTGTTATGGTGGGGATGAGGTATGCCCCAAAAGCTTGTAAATGAGACAATGCAGGGCCATTCAGAGGCAAAACAGTTAGATTGTGAGAGTATAACCTAATCAGCAGAACAATCCATTTGGTGGATTAATAATTTAATTAATGAGCCATAACCATAGGCAGGTGGGGTGTGGCTGGAGGAAGTAGGTCACTGGTAACATGCTCTTGGGTGTTATATTACCCTTGGCTCCTTGCACTCAAGCTCTCTTTGCTTCCTGGCTGTCATGAGCTGAGTACCTTTCCTCTGCCACATTCATCTGCCATGATGTTCTCCCTTCTCTCAGACCCAGAGCAATGGAGTCAGCCATCTAGGGACTGACCCCTGAAACCATGAGCCCAAATAAACCTTTCCTTCTCTAAGCTGTTCTTGTATGGTTTATTGGTCACAGAAATGCAAAGTTGACTAACAAGTGTGACACCTGCAGGAAATTATAAGGGAGGAGCAAAGATTGCTGGAGTACAAAGTGCATGTAACGAAAGGATGAGAAATGTTCCTGGAGTGGGGCAGGGTCAGGGTTCAGAGCACAGCAGGCTTCTTATGCTGTATTAATAAGGAACTTTGCCTTGATTTCCATCAGTGATGGAGAACCACTGAAAATAAAGGAAGGACATGATTAGTTTTATGTTTTATGTAATTCACTCTGGTAAAATACTATAGAAGAAGTTGATGTGTATAAAACCCTTTAGGAGACTTTTAAGCTTGAACTATTACAATCAGAATAGAGATTTACAGAGGTGGTCAGATTTGAGAAATATGTAAGTGAAGTTGCCAAGATTTGGTGAGTGATGTGGTATGACAGATGAAGGTGAGAGAGAATCAGGAGTTGCAGATGACTTCTGGCTCTATTGTTAGGGTCCTTGGTGGTACCACCTACTGAGATAGAACTTACAAAAGAAGGAACAGATACAATGAGGAAAATAATGTCTTGAGCTTGGACATGTTCAGTTTGAAAGATGACATGTCTAGGAAGTGATTTCTGACACACAGTAAGATATGTAAGGCAGGATTTCAACACTAGGCTAATGATTTAGACCTCATACGACATATAAACCAGTATGGTCTATGTACTAGCAGATCAGCATCCCTAAGGAACTTGTCAGAAATGCAAAGTCCCAGGTCCAACTCCAACGTACTGTATCAGAACCTCTGGAGTTGGGCCAAGAATCTATGCTTTGGAAAGCTCTGCAGGTAAGCTGAAACACTAGTTTAAGCCATATAAATGGGCTTGTTCACTCAGAGAGTCTGGAAGGAGCAGTTAGACAGCTTGAGGAAATCCTGTTAGCTCTACTTTCAATGTGTTACCTGCTGATGACTCATTTCCTCCTTTGCTAGTACCCTGGTCCTCCCTTCATCGTGCCTCTGCTGGATCTTTACAACAACCTCCTTATTTCCATTTCCACAATAGCCCTCTCTAACACACTGTTCTCATAGCAGTCAGAGTAAGAAGCACACTCACCATCACATGGCTTTCAAACATCTAGGGACCTTCCATCCATTTGTAATAATTGGAAGTCCCATGGTTGCCACACTGTGGTAACTGCCCCCCAAGACAGCCCCACTGATCCTGTTATTCAGCCCTGATCACATGGTATCAGGGTGGGTCTGTGTGACCAATAGAATATGGAAGAAGAGATTGTGTGTGGCTTCTGAGGCTGTTACAAAAAGGCATTGTGTCTCCTCTCTTGAGCTCCTTTAGCTCACTTGTACTGTGGGAAGCTGGGAACCATCTCGCAATGACACTCAAACCTTGTATGGAGTGGTCTGCATGGTGAGGAACCTAGGTTTTCTGCCAAAGCCACAAGAGTGAGCCATCCCAGAAGTGAATCTTCTAGCTCCACGTGATGACAGCCCCAGCTGATAGCTTGGCAGCAATTTCATGAGAGATCCTGAGCAGGAACCAGACAACTAAGCTGCTCCTGGATTGAGCCTTAGATATCGTGATGCACATCTAATTCCAGTGACTCAAGAGATTGAAGCAGGAGGATGGTAAGTTCCAGGCCAAGCTCAGCAACTTAGCAAGACCCTGTCCCAAAATAAAAATACTGGACTGGGGATGTAGCACAGTGGTACAGCACCCCTGGGTTCAATCTCAAGTATCAGGAAAAAAATGATAACAAAAACCTGTGAAATAACAAGTGTGTTAGAAACTGATAAATTTTGGGGTACTCTGTGCAGCATCTGATAACTGATATACTTATGATCTGGCCCGTGGCAAAACTGTAAACTCATTTCCTATACTTAGCCATTGTCCTCTTCATTCTAGTATCCTGCTCCCTTGCCAATCCTTTCATGAGAAACAGGCTCCTACTTTAGGAGTTACTCTACAGGAATTCTTTCACCACAGATAATCATAGTGATCAAGTGCCAGTCCCTCTGAGAGATCTTCTCTAGCCATTCTACCTAAAATAGTGCCTTGATCTGATCATCAGACTTATTTTTATTTACAGTATATAACATTTCTATATATTTTATGTATTTTTTTTCTGTTTATTATCCATTTCTCCACAGGAATGTGATCTCTGTGAGGGCAGAGACCTTGTTATGTTCCCTGTTGTCCCAGGGACTGGAACATTGGCTTCTTACATAGTAGACTGTCAACAAGTCTCTGTAAAAATGAACGGAAAAGGAAAATGTGCTAGGAAACCTCAACATTTAGGAAAAAAGCGAGAGATGCCCACAGAGGAAGCAGAGGAGTGGCTTGAGGTGGAAGAATGGCTTTAGGGAAGTAGACGGAGAATGAGAGCTTCCCACAGATATTGACTTCATTGCTACTATGTTTAAGTTGCTGTGCTTCTATTTTAGTTAGCCATGTGTTGCTGTGACCAAAAGGCCCAAAAGAACAATGTAAAGGAGGAAAAATTTATTTGTGGCACATGATTTCAGAGGTCTCCTTCCCATAGATAGCCAATTATATATGCTCTAGGCTCAAGGTGAGGCAGAACATGATTGTAGTAGAATGTCGGGGAAGAAATAAGCTCAGGACATGGCACCAGGAAGCGGGGTGGGGGAGAGAGGAAGCTCTGCTCAGCAAAGACAAAATATATACCTCAAAGTCTTGCCCCCAGGAACCCATCTCCTTCAGCCACTCTTTACCAGTTCCACCCAGTTAATCCATTCAAGTGAGTTAATGCACTGATTAACTTAAGGTTCTCATAGCACAATCAGTGCACCTCTGAAATCTCTTGCATTTTCTCACACATGAGCTTTTGGGAGACACCTCATGTCTAAACTGTAACAGGCTTCTTCTTATGGACTTAAGAATAACAAACTTTTTTAAAATTAATTTTTTTAAAAATAAATGACAGTGGAATGCATTACAATTCATATTACACACATACAGCACAATTTTTCATATCTCTGGTTGTATATAAAGTATGTTGACACCAATTTGTATCTTCATACATGTACTTTGGATAATGATGTCTATCACATTACACTATCCTTGCTAACCCCCTGCCCCCTTCCTTTCCCTCCCATCCCTCTGCCCTATCTAGAGTTTGTCTATTCCTCCCATGCTCCCCTTCCCTACCCCACTATGAATCAACCTCCTTATATCAGAGAAAACATTCAGCATTTGTTTTTTTGGGGATTGGCTAATTTCACTTAGCATTATTTTCTCCAATGCCATCCATTTACCTGCAAATGTCATGATTTTATTCTCTTTTATTGCTGAGTAAAATTCCATTGTGTATGTATGCCACATTTTTTAATCCATTCATCTACTGAAGGCATCTAGGTTGGTTCCATAGTTTAGATATTGTGAATTGTGCTGCTATAAACACTGATGTGGCTGTGTCCCTGAAGTATGCTGATTTTAAGTCCTTTGGGTATAGACGGAGGAAAGGGATAGCTGGGTCAAATGGTGGTTCCATTCCCAGATTTCCAAGGAATCTCCATACTGCTTTCCATATTGGTGGCACCAATTTTCAGTCCCACCAGCAATGTATGAGTGTACCTTTTCCCCTACATCCTTGCCAACACTTATTGTTATTTGTCTTCATAATAGCTGCCATTCTGACTGGATGATATCTTAGAGTAGTTTTGATTTGCATTTCTCTAATTACTAGAGATGATGAACATTTTTTGTTGATTGATTGTATATCCTCTTCTGAGAAGTATCTGTTCAGGTCCTTGGCCCATTTATTGATTGGGTTATTTGTTTTTTTGAGAAAAGATAGCCTCTTCAAATGGTGCTTGGAAAACTGGAAATCCATATGCAACAAAATAAAATTAAACCCCTATCTCTCACCATGCACAAAACTCAACTCAAAGTGGATCAAGGATGTAGGAAGTAAACCAGAGACTCTTGTCTAATAGAAGAAAAAGTAGGCTCTAATCTTCATCATGTTGGATTAGGCCCCAACTTCCTTAATAAGACTCCTATAGCACAAGAATTATAACCAAGAATCAATAAATGGGATGGAATCAAACTAAAAAGTTTCTTCTCAGAAAAGAAAACAACCTGTGAGGTGAACAGAGAACCTATAGCCTGGGAGCAAATTTTTACCCCTCACACATCAGATAGAGCACTAATCTCTAGGGTATATAAAGAACTCAAAAAAAGCTAAGCACTAGAATAATAAACTTTTTAAACCCTATATTATGAAATAATGATAGGTTCACAGGAAGTTGTCAAGAGATATACAGGGAGACTTCTCTTTTACTAAGTCTTGCTTAATGGTGTACAGTATTAACTTCGAAAACTGACATCGGCCCAATTCTCAGGGTTTATTCAGATTTCGTATGTGTGTGTGTTTGTGTGTGTGTGTGTGTGTGTGTGTGTGTGTGTCCGTGATCAAGATACATAATTCTACCATAACCACAAGATTCTCTTCTTTTACTTTTTGTAGTCATGTACACTTCCCACCACGCCCGGTCCTAACCAGTTCTCCATCTCTATAATTTTTTCTTATATAAATGGAATCATACATACTTTTGAAATTGGCTTTTTTTTCCATTTAGAATAATTCCCCTGAGTTGCATCCAAATTGTTACATGTATTGGTACTTGGTTTCTTTTTATGGCTGGGCAGTATTCCATAGTACAAAAGTACCATGGTTTGTTTATTCACATATTGTAGGAGATTTGGAAACTCTCTAGTTTGGGAGAATGAATAAAGCTGTTACGAGCATTTATGTACCAGTTTCTGAGTAAAACTAATTTTTCACTTCCCTGGATAAATACCTAAGAGTGCCTTACTAGGTTGTATAGTAAATGCATGTTTAGCTTTAGAAAAACCTGCCAAACTGTTTTCCACAGTGGCTGTACCATTTTATATTTCCACCTGTAATGCATAAATGACCCAGTTCCCTGTATCTTTGCCATCATTTAGTGTAATAAGTAGACTCTTTTTATATTAATTTTTACAAGTACATGGTCACATCTCATTGTGGTTTTTTTTTAATTTTTTAAAATTTATATATGACAGCAGAATGCATTACAATTCTTATTACACATATAGAGCACAATTTTCATATCTCTGGTTGTATACAAAGTATATTGACACCAATTCATGTTTTCATACATGTACTTGGGATAATAATATCCATCACATTTTTGCATTTCCCCAGTGAATAATTATGGTAAACATTTTATGTGCTTATTTGTCATCTATATCCACACATCCTCTTCTGTGTTTTGTCTATTCATGTTTTTGTTCATTTTCTAATTGGATTGTTCCCCTCTTTCATATGGAGTTTTAGGAGTACTTTCTATTTTCTGTATACATGTCCCTTGTTGGGTATATGAATTGCATATACTGTCTCTCAGTATAATTGTCCTTTAATTCTCCTATCAGGATTTTTACACAGCAAACATTTTTAATTTTTATGAGGTCAAAATTGATTATTTTTTTCCCTGTTGCTGATTATGCTTTCACTGACAAGTCTAAATCCTCTTCACCAAATCCAAGTTCCTAAATGTTTATAAAGGTTTTGTAGTTTTACGTTTAAACCTGTAGCCCATTTGGAACTAAATTTTGTACAAAGTAGGAGGTGTGGGTGTGAAGTTTTGGGTGCAGAAAGTGTGAAGCTTAGGTTAAGGTTCTTCTTCTTATTAGTTCTGGTCTGTGGATATCTATGGCCATAATGTCCATGCTCATTTGTTGAACAGGCTGTCTTCCTGCATTGAATTGCTTTTGTCAAAGATTAACTGGGCCTATCTATTTGTGTGAATCTATATCTGAGTTCTCTACTGTGCTTCTTTTTTTTTTAATATTTATTTATTTATTTTTAGTTTCGGCGGACACAACATCTTTGTTTGTATGTGGTGCTGAGGATCGAACCCGGGCCGCACGCATGCCAGGCAAGTGCGCTACCGCTTGAGCCACATCCCCAGCCCTCTACTGTGCTTCTGTAGATTTTTATATTTGCTCCTTATAAGGTCTCCCATTCCTAGTTTGCTAAGAGTTTTTATCATGAATAGGTTTGGGGTTTTGCCAAATGGTTTTTCTTCATTAATTGACAGATTTTTCTTCTTTAGCCTGGTCAGTTATGTTGCTTGATTTTTGAATAGCTAGTAAGCCTTGTAAAGCTGGAATAAATCTCACATGGTTGTGGTGGATCATTCTTTTTACACATTGATATATTTGATTTGTTAATATTTTGTTCAGAATTTTTACATCTAAGTTCAGAGATACATTGCATTCTCTCTCTCTCTCTCTCATACTTTGGGTTTAGTATCAAGGTAAAATGGGCCTTATAAAATGAGTTGGAAAGTGTAACTTTTGCTCTATTTTCTGGAAGAGAGTATTATATTTTTAATCAAATATATTATTTTTTCAAGAGTAATAATGCTGTTCTGGAGGATCAAGATACAAGATATTAAAGGAAAGAAGGACCTAACTTGCACATTCCTCTTCCACATTTAGAATATTCCTCTCTGGTCTTCACTGTGCATAAGTTGGAATGGGTAGCTCAGGCTAGGAGATTCCAAATGTGGAGGAAATGTGACTTTAATAGGTGTTTTCCTACTCACTGGTATTTTAA